TAGTGTGAGGGATTGCTGAAGAGTCAGTGAGTCTATGCAATCAACTGGTTTTCCTTAAAAAGAAAACTGAATCAATTTGACTGGATGATCTGGTTGATGTGTGTCTGTAGAGTGCCTTGAGATGAAATTTGTTTTGTATAGAAATTAATTGAAGTTAATTGACTGCAGCCACAAAAGGCTGCTGACTCTGACCGTTTTGCTCACAGCAGCCCTCATTACTCTCTAAACAAAGTAAATTCAGAGAGTGGTCCTGTCACATTGGGTTCAAACAGTACAGAAAAAAGTTGCTAGAGTTATTCCTAGTTGCTTTCTTAAAAGAAGTTTAAAAAGTGTTGCTGGAGAAGAAGTCTGAAAGGTCACTATATATAGCAACAAAACAGCTAAGTTGGCAATGCTGCTCCCGTTTGTGTCATGGTTCTCCCTTTTTGGGACTCTGAGATTTTTGATTTCAGTTATAATTTATTCTGTTTTGTTTTTTGGTTTCTTTTCCATTATATTCAAACAGTCTTTAGTTACTCTCTGTTGGCACCTTGTGCTTGTTTCCTTTCGCCTTGGCTTCATTCAACTGAGTTCCACACACAACTGCTCCATATTCCTTTGTTCTGTTCCCCTTATATACACCCCTTCTGCAGTCACTCAGTGCTGGTTCCTTGTTAATTGTTAGCTGCTTACTCGTCTCTGGCTCTCCACGAGTTTTCCCTGATGTTTGCTGGTTATTTGGTTCTCAGTAGTTTTGTGTTTTGGATGTTTGCCTCAGTTTGCATTAAATGTACAAGAACTCATCCAGGGGCGGACTTAGGAAATTTGGGGCCCTAGGCAAAGACAAGCATGGGGCCCTCTGAATTGAGAAGACAACATATAGAACAGACCCAGTATACAGATACAGAAATTATAATAGAATAGACTTAGATTATTTGTTCTACCTTTTGTCCCTCTCTTCTTATCCTTTTTGTTGTGGTTTTCTTCTGTGTTCTTTTGTCCCTTTCTGTAGTAGTCTAGGCAAAGGCAGGCACGGGGCCATCTGAAATGAGAAAACAACACACAAAACAACAGGTCAATTATACAAATTGACATTTTAAGAGAATAAACATGCATTATTTTACCTTTTATCCCTCTCTTCCTGTCCTTTTTTCATGTCTGTTTCATTTTACTCTTTTTTTCTTTTGTTTTATTCTCTTCCTGTCTTTCTCTCAGTCTGAGAAAAAGACTGAGACTTTCTTATTCTTTTGTTTCTTTTACTCATATTCCTCCTTGTTTCCCCCTTTTCTCTTCCTGTCCCCTTTTCTTGTTGTTTTCCTCTTAATGTTTTGTCCCTTTTTCCTAGTAGTTGTATTCTCTTTCTCCCTAAAATTTCATTTTTCGAGCCTTGGCCTCAGCAAATCTTGCAATGAGAAGATCCATATCCACTGACTTCCTGACTTCTTGCTCAATGGAGAGAACAGCGAGTGCAGACAGCCTTTCCTGTGACATTGTTGACCTTAGATATGTTTTAATTAGCTTCAGCTTTGAGAAACTTCTCTCACCTGAAGAGACTCTCACAGGTAGATTGAGCAGAAGTCTGAGAGCTATACTCATATTTGGATAAAGGTCTAGGATATTCTCCTTATAGATATAATCAAGCATCTCAGATGGTGATGAGATATGTATGGGGAAGGATCTAACTGCTCCCTTTACCTCAAGTTTCATATCCTCTGCATCAATGTCATCCATCGTCTGCTCAAGTCTCTGGCAACATTCATCCAGCTTCCCTTCCTTCTCAGTGCTTCTCATGACATCAGTGGAGTAGAGAAATCCATACAGCTCATAAAAGGTTTCCATGTGTGAAAATCTCTCCTTTAATGTCAATTAGAGGCAAGAAAAACTCTCTTTTTTAGGTCTCTTCTGCAGTGGATTGAAAATTATATATATATATATATATATATATATATATATATATATATATATATATATATATATATATATATATATATATATATATATATATATATATATAAATAAATAAATAAATAAATAAAATATGTATATATATATATATATATATATATATATATATATATATATATATATATATAAATAAATAAAAATGTCACAGGAAAGACTAGTGATGTTACATATGACAATTGCTTAAACTACAGAACAGTAAATTATTTAATTTATAATTAATGTGACCCTTAACATCCCCAGCTGTACACAATAAAACACATCAAATCAATGTCAATACAAAGCTGTAAAGCAGAGTGAGATGTTGGTAATAACTTCCTTATGTTTTTTGAATGTATAACTTAAATTATTAAAGACTAAAACACCTAAAACTTATGGGTGATTTTACAACATTTAAAAGCCTGAGATTTTCCTGATATTCAACATTAAAAACACCTAAATAATTGATTTTTCATCGTTTGTAGCAAATCCAAATGAAATTATAAACTTACTTTAAAATGACCCATCTTCAATAAGGTAAATCAATATAGGGGGAATGTCCCCTTCGACAGCTTAATACTCACTAGTTGTTCAACTCCACACGATGGATCCTCCTTAACAGGTGCCAGACTTGCCGCTAAGTTGTCAGCTGTTTGCGGCAGGTTACTGCTGCTACTGCTCGCCGCTGCCGCAGTGAAGAAGCCGAACTCAGTAATTTTTGGTAACTTTGAAAGCAGCTTCCTACCTTCATTGAATGAAGGTAGTGTATAGGATTTCCTGAAAGCGCGTTCACGAGTCTACGGAAACCGCGGCAGACCAAACCAGACGAAAGTGCGCATTCAGCTCGGCAAAGAACTCATGCTCTTCCTCAACACTGAAGTCCTCAGACATTTTTCTTTCGTTGTTTCTTTCTTTGCACAGGTAAACAGCACATTTCTTCTTCTACGCTTGCATTATCGGCAGAGCAGACGCTGAATGCGCACTTTCATCTGGTTTGGTCTGCCGGCTTCCGTAGCGTCGTGAACGCGCATGTGCGCGCTTTCAGGAAATCCTATACACTACTGTTTATGCTCTAAAAACATTCTAAATGACTTCGTTTTGAGTAAATTCTGGACGCTACCCACTCAGAACACTTGGAATACATTGGACGAGCAGTATGGAGGAATATTGACACGTTTTTTGTGGACTTTTATGGACCTTTCTGCCTCGGGCGCCATAGACCTCCATTATTTGAATGTCAGCAGACAGCAAGAAGCCTCCCAGATCTCCAGATGCATTTGAGATATCAAAAAAGTACTCCAGAATGTTGTTCAGCATTAGGGTGAGTAGAAAATGAAGGCTAATCATGTTTTGGGTGTACTATTCCTTTAATGACTGTCTGAAACCGTAGCTCACCACAGATATACGCCTGAAAGTGCGCATGCACAAAAAAAGATAGCTAACTCGGGACGAGCACGTAGGACAGCTTTACGTAAATATATCACCAGAACAATTTACAATTAGGAGGACCACTTATTTAGATCATAAACAAAATATCATCCTCTATACCTTTAATGCACATTGGTCCCTTCCTGGAGACCCCATGAACATCCTCTGTTTCGTCACCATCAGTGTTAGAATGTCCTGTAAAGTGCACTGGATTCTCCTAACTTATAAAGGTGCATTATAAGCAGGCTCGGACTGGTAATCTGTGATACCTAAATGATGCATGCAGTGTATACAGCCCTTCCTTGTCATGCACATCCTTGTGACGGTTGGAATATGGTGTCATTTTCTATTTCTTCAAACTGTAAAATCCTTGCAGCAAACTAAATTATAATGAAACTAAAATGCTTTCTTTAAACCAAACTACGATGTTCCTCTCATATTTGGCAAATTTATGTTAGAATATTTTGCAAAAATATGTTGGCTTTTGCATCTGTTTACATTATTTCATTTCATTGCCCACATGCCACCTAGACTCGCAGTGAATGCTTAAACACCACTGAGCTTTCATGTATTCATTTTTGAAGAACAGCCTGTCTGCCTCTATATCGGTGGCGGGTGTAAATAAAGAAAGCCAGGGCTGCAAATCATTCCCAGTGCGAGCCTGTTTATAAGTACAGGGCATTTGGCATTTAAAAGAAACTGACATGTTCTAAAATGAGACAAAATATAAAGTAGTAAAAACCTAGAAATATTAGATTGTAGGCTTGTCCCGATCCGATCCACGTATCGGATCGGACGCCGATATTGGCAAAAAAATGCGTATCGGCAAAGCATGCAAAAATGCCGATCCAGACTGCCGATCCAGTTTTAAAAAAAAATCCGGTCCGTATTTTACAGTTTCGCCGATTGAAACGATCCATTCCACTATTTTGCACCAGTGTTTCCCGAATCCGGTCTGCATTTTCCAGAACACCTTCAACGCACCCACAGGTCTTTTTGGGTCTGTCTCCCGGCCTAACCATTAAAACAGGTGAATTGGAAGATAGCGGGGAAAATGTCAGCCGTGTGGGATTATTAGTGGAGGAGATTGGGGAGTATAAGGCATTTTTGTGTAATAGGTCACTATTATTTGCACTGATTTTTTTTTTAAGCAGTGTCTTTTTTCAAGAGTAGAGTCCTGATTCTAAGTTAATAGACTATTTTCCACTCTTGTCTGTTTTGCATTTTTATTAAAACTTACAGTAATACTTGCACATTTAACTGTTTACGGTTTTACTGTTCACTGTGCAATTTCAGATTGCTATTCATAATTTTGTCCAGTTTGTGTTTATCTCTTAATAAACAGGTAAGTTTGTTGTTACCAATCATTGTGTTTTATTCAATCTCACCTAATTCAGCTGGCTAGATGTTATCAAGAGTACTAAAACCCTTTTCAACATGGGTCTTACAACTAAGGCTAAATACTTTAACTTAAACTTAAATACATGCTTGGATAGGCTGGTATCGGCCAGTATCGGTATCGGATCGGAAGTCCAAAAACAATATCGGTATCGGATCGGAAGGGCAAAAACCTGGATCGGGACATCTCTATTAGATTGTGCTGTTTTTTCTGTGTTTAAAGAGCTGTTTTCCTTTTATGTTCTTGTGCTCAGAGAAGGCACGCTGCGACCCGGGGACCGCCTTCTGAGTGTGGATGGTGTTCCTCTACACAGCGCCAGCCACAATGACGCCCTCAGTGTGTTGGCCCAGTGTGGCCAGGAAGCCCTGTTCCAGATAGAGTACGACGTCACAATAATGGGTGAGCAGAATTAGGCTGTCCAGGCCTCTCAGGTAAACTGGTAAACAGTTTGCTTGAACTAAAAAACGAAGCAGCTTAATATAAAGTGAACCACCACAATCATCAAAGCTCAGAATGTTTTTTTCCTTTTAGACACAGTAGCCAACGCCTCCGGTCCGCTATTAGTGGAAATCGCTAAGTCACCCGGGGCAACACTGGGCATCACGCTGACGTCGGCTAATCATCGAAACAAGCAGGTCATCGTGATCGACCGGGTCAAACCCGGCAGCGTGGTGGACAGGTACGCATTAACACATCACTTATAAACAGAGCTTTCAGATTTTATTCATTATGACTTTTTCACATTTAACAACCACATGCTTTTGTAATAAATAAAAGGAGAAACTGTTTTAAAAAAAAAAATTAAATTTGGCATGTATTAGCAGCCCCCAAACTCTATTTAGAGATTATTAGTAGGCAAACAGCATCAAAAAAAGAAAGAAAAAAACATAAATAAAATTTTTTAAGGATTTAAAACTAGGATACGGTTTTAAAACACTTCCGCTTTTATGAAGCATTAATTTCTTTAAATCATTGATAATATTTATGATTCAAGTTGAGAAAGAATGAAGCTGAACGACAAACCAACGAGGACATTTTCTTCCACCTTCAGTTCTCAGTTACAGCCTCCAACCCTCCAGGGAGGGAACTAAATCATTTGATTCATTCCTCGTCTAACGCACCTGAACTAATGGCTGAATTGCTTTCTCAGCACCAATTTTCCAAGTTCTGACCCAGTTTGTCTGAATCTGTTCTGGTCAAACAGTTAGGGCCCTGTCACACATGGCCAATTAAAGGGCTGGTTATATTCCTGCAGCAGTGTGTTGCAGTGAGCTTGACGCAGAAATTTTAGATTTATGCTCAATATTGAAGCATGTTATCCCACGGCAAACGCAAGAGAGACAATGACGAACTAGCTTTGGGTCTAGATTCGGCCAAGGTGGAGAGGAATTGGGGGCAAGTTTGTGCGACAACTGAGGGACATGAGGGCGAAAAAGAGCGGTGATCCAGGTGGAAAAAGGGTCCCAGCTTTCTCACACATCTCGCTCTTCTAGCTGGTCCAGTAGAGTGGATGTAGATTTGACCAATCAGAGGCCTCCTATCCTATCACTGTCTGCGGTCACCTACAATTATGGAGAGGTGCAGCAGAGTGTCTGTGGAAGGGGCGGGGGGCATATTTGCGTTCACTGCGACACACAGTCAGACGTGCTGGTTTCTGAGTATGAATCAGTCTTAAGCCAGCATATGCCCTACGTCCAGGAATCTCCTAATATGCTGAAATACGCTGACCGTCCTATGAATTTATTTCAACGTTGGGTGTATGCATAGTAGGGATGGGACGATTTATGAAAACCGTCAGAATCGTTTGGTTCGTCTGTCTCGGTTCGTTCGGTTCATGCGCTGCTCATTTTTCTCATGGAGGAAGCGATTACACTCCAGAGCAGAAGGTGGCGGTACTGCGACCAAAGCCAACCGCCAGTAGTAAACAAGAAGAAGAAGAAGCGAAGCAGCTTAGCCGGGTGTAGCAGGGAAAAAAATCAGTTGTTGTGGAGAATTGTGTCGGACTGGCGAGTGGGAAAGAACAGGAGTTGGAAGACGGCATTTAGAGTGACCTACGATGACGGCGGAAAGAAAGTTGTGAATAAAAGTGCAACAGTGTGCAAGCATTGTGCAACACGTTTTGTTTATGCTAACAGCAACATGTCATGCTAACCCCGAAATCCCTCATACTCCGTCAGCAACCCCCGCTGCGCTCCAGACCGGCTGCTCAAAGCAAAGCCTACAGCCCCCGCTGTGGCTTCGTCCGCTCCCCTCTGAGTTCCTTGGAGATGGTAGAGAGCATGTAACCTGACAACAGCCAGATGCATGTGGCGGAGCGAGACATGAGCGAGACATGCATCTGGCTGTTGTCAGGTTAGAGAGCATGCGCCAGATGATTAAATTCAAAGCAGCAAAACATACGGAAATGATCCAGGGTTTCCGCGGATCATTTAAAATAATTACAATCCATTATTTTTGGGGAGATTTTTTCATTAATTTCATAATTTTTTATGGAATTTCGGTGTAACAATCAACATGTATCGAATCGAACCGAAAACCGTGACCAGAAACCGTGAATCGAACCGAACCGTGGATTTTGTGAATCATTCCACCCCTAATGCATAGAGTATACAGAACAAGTCCAGAACTTCTGTCCAACGACAGCCTAACTTTTGCATAACGCACAGCAGCGTAATGCCTATGAAATGATGCCTTTGCATGAGAAATTACTGAAAAATTTTTCCTTTAATCGTGGAGATGTCCTTCAGCTGATAGAAGGCCGACATCGTTCCTGTCTTTATGACCCTCTGGAGATTCAGGTCTGACTCCATCACTACACCCAGATTTAGAGCCTGATTGCTGCTTTTGAGCTGGTGTAGCTGAAGCTGAGTGCTAACTTTAAGAAGCTCTTCCATTTGTCCTAAAACTGTTACTTTCGTTTAGTTTCATTCCTCTGTAGAACATTTTGTTCATCACTTAATGGATTTCTTCTCTGCATTTACGCAGAGCTGGAATGGGTTCATAGTCACATGGTGACAAGGTAACATACAGCTGGATGTTGTCTGCATTGCTATGGTGACTGATATTTTTTATTAAGATCTGAGTCCGGGGGAGCAAGGAGATACTGAAAAGGAGTGGCCCTAGGATGGAGCCTTGGGGAACACCACATGGGGTTTCTCTGGTCTCTAGTGTAAAGTTACCTAATGACACTAAACGATCTCGGCCTTTCCAGAGGATTTAAACCAGTCCAGTTCTGGACCAGAAAGGGCGACATCCCTGAAGACAAAACCCACTAAAGGTTTTAATGAAATACCACCAACTGAATCACTTTTGAAAATATCTTAATTAATTAATTATAATTTTTGAGAACCAGTTGTGTTAATTTTGCAGATGAAATTGAAGTAAATAACTTTTAGATTTATGGCACTCAAATGATCAAATATTCAAAAACATGCTGAAAGAAAAACGTTAAGAGCGACGGCAACATTTATTATTTCCTTAGGGGTCAATATAGTAAATGTTTAAAAAGCTAAGGATCATAAATGCGTTTCCTCTGTGTGATAGAAATGTTGCGACAGTAGTAGATGGTGTGAAACAGTGCCAGTGTCAAAGATTGTGGAAAATGTCTTTTAAATATAGCCAAACAGAGAAATCAATATCCCGCCTACTCCAGGAAGCCATTCTTACACTGCGGGATTACAGATATATTGTGTTTGATGTGGTGTCTTTCACATCCAGCCTGTTTAGGAAATCCTTACACACATAAAGTCGATGCACATGAATCCAGCACTACAATTAAAACAGAAGGTAGAAAATGGATATCGCCCCAAGCAGAGCCTCAGTCTGCTTCTAAAATATACATAAAGAGCTTGTAAACAGGCAGTAAAATATCCTTACTCGACGTAACAAGTTTGTAAGGTTTGCCGACAGAGGCAGAAACAAAGCAGAGGAGTAAGTGTTCCACTCTCTTAAAAAAAAAGACACACCCACATTTTAACAACCCAGCTTTCTACAGCATCAGCCTGTACCAGTTCTAATAAAAGGGATGGAAACTCTGGAAGGCAACCGCCAACCAGCTCCAGGAAACACACAGCCAGGCAGATGAGATCCAAGCCAGCTCCCACGTCAGAAGATGAAGAGAGCACATCCAGCCAGTCACAGTCAGAGAAACAGGACTAAATTGAACAACAGGCAGATCTCCAACATCTGTAAGCAAAGGTGTTGATGGCAGCAGCACAGCTGATATTTCTCTCCAGGATGGAGTCACAGCCAAACAGGAACAGACCAGATGAAGCTACTATGAGGAAAAGCAGAGAGAGCAGAACGTTAGAGATTGAACTAACAGATTCTGCAGAGTGGGAGAATAGAGATAGAATGAAGCAGAATGATGAAAAAATTGTCCCTATGTCCTCCAGCAGTCTAAGCCTATAGCAGCAGAACTATAGAGATAATCAACTAAATTAAACCTCATGGGGGGAAAAAAAACAAAAAACATTCACAACTAACTTAAAGAAATTGAAGCTAAACAATACTCCAAATCCAAACAAAACCCAAAACATCTCCCCTACCGCTCAGTCACTGTTGATTCCCCTTATGAGGCTGAAGGGAAAGGCTGAAAGACACAAAATGCCTGTTTGCAAAACCAGTTGTTGAGGGGGTAAATCCCTTACAATGTTGGTTATGGATGTCTACATTCTGCTAACATCTATCACTGCTCCATAGCTGCAAATTTGGGTCCAAAAATCACTGCTGTCTGGTTTCTTAATGTCGTAGTATTGTTCTGCGCTTTCTTTTCCTTCTGCATGAACTAGATGTGGAGCACTGCATCCTGGAGATCACCTCCTCTCCATAGATGGGACGTCCACAGAACACTGCACTGTGTTGGAGGCAACGCAGCTATTAGCAAGCACAACTGAACTCGTTAAGTTAGAGATCCTCCCTTCACACCAGACAAGGCTAGCTGGGAAGCAGCACGACACAGGTGGGTTTAATGGACGTTTGATTCATAATACTATTATTTCCCGCGGTCTGAATGGATTGATAACCAAGGGTAAAAAAAAATTCTAAAATTATATCCCCAAGGTGGGGATATAATTTTAGAAAGTAGCAATTTGTCAGACATTATTTCCCTCATATTTGCCAATTTTTTTTTATCTTTTAACAATTTTTTTCTCTACAGGATCAGCAGGATTAGAGATTATTTTGGAGCTTTGAATCTCTTTAGTAGAGCACATTAGGGTACAGATAGAAATATGAAAATATAAAATTCTAACCTAGAATTCGAAGAGATATCTAGTTTGAAACTGAAACAAGAATAAAATCAGAATTTTGCAGCATCAGTCTTGTTTTTTTTTCTTTTGTTCCCTTCAAGACTGAGTGAAGAATCATTGATCCTCATTTGTAGCTTTGTGCCTGATTATTTCAGAAGGGTGTCTTGTTCCAAAGTGATTGCATTTCCCTACTTTAATGTTTGCACTTTTGAGTTCACAGGTTAAATGTTGATCTTTGCTGTTATTGTAGGGAATTACTACTATGGCGGAGAGGTCAAAATTTACTGCTAATATATAAAACTACAAAAGCACTGCAAATGAAATATGGTGCAATCACAGAAAATAAAGAGCAGCAAATTCAGAAAAGGTTTAAAATCTAAAATTCTCTACTAGAGAATCTTAGTATTCAGTGTAAGAAAGAGTTAAAATGTTGTCTCTGATTTTAGCAATTCTCTGCCAAAGCATGCTAATAAAGAAGTAGATATAAAACTTTAGTTAAATGTGTAGGATTGGGTTATTAGTTGTATTAATAAACAGAGATGGGAGTGATGCTACTTTCAGACCGCACACAGCAGAAGCAGCAGGTTTACATACAGAAGTTTCAGTCAATAGTTGCCGCTCATCAAGGTGCAGCCAAAGTTCCTGCAGCGCGTCTGAGCAGCCGAAGGGACGCCTCACGAGCTTCTGACTGCTGTTATTCTGCAGGTCAGAGGCATTTACACAAAATAAAGCAAGAATTATCCAATCATTTACCGTAAATCCTCTAATATTGGCCTGTATTCCATTAGCAGCCGGGTCTCTAATAATGACCGGTTTTGCTGTCGGCGGGGGTAAATAATGGCCGGACGCTAATACAGGCCGGGGCTACAATTGGAACCAACGATGTTCCTGTGCAGTCCTCACCAACCTCTGATAGTAACATGCAAGTACCACAGGGGGGCAGTGTTTGCTAACGAATCCAATCCATTAGCTTGGGAATTCCCATCCTTAGCGCAGACAGTGCTGCAGACAGGAGGCCGGATTGTTTGGTTTCTATGACCAGCTGTGATGGCAGAACAGTTTCCATTAATTTATTTTAAAACTTTGTTTGGCCAAGAATCCATTCTGTGTCTTTTTTTTTGTATTGCCGTGCAGAAAAAAAGCAGCTGCTGGAAGAAGTCTGAATAATGTTCTGTAAACCATTATGGTAACTGTACTTTTTCAATAAATTAACCTAGCATTTTATCGGTTCAAAGAGACACAATCTGTTTTTATTCATTCCACTGGTCGTCTGTTTTGATCAAATAGAAATAGAGGTCTGCCTCTATTTCTGGCCTCCTTCCAATAATGGCCTGGACCAAGATGCACCTGAGTGAAATAAAGGCCCCGGCCTATATTAGAGGATTTACGGTATTTGTTAATAATGATAATAGAACCAAACATGATTGCAGTGACTTGGCAAGTCCCATGACTCAAGTCAAGTCAATTCGCAGGTCGGGAAGGGCAAATCAAGTTTTTTGTGCATTTTAATCTAGCAAGTCAGAAGTCACAAATCTGACTTGAGTCAAGTCATTGGCTCGAGTCCCCCAGTCTTGGTTAATTGGGTTATTAGAGCCACACTTTGACAGTTGTAAAATAGATTTATCAAATGTTTCATGAAATGACTGGCAAGGCTCACTTTAGAGACAAGATCCTAGGCACTTTTAAACCCCTAAAACTTTAACTGGTCCAAAAAATAAGAGCCGTTTATGAGAAAAGGAGCTCCTGTTTGCTGGGTGGGGTTGACGGGAAACGAATAGCCTGAGGCTACAACGTTTCCTGATTTGTCTACTGAAGATGGCCCAATAAATGTTAGAACCCTGCTTGTTTTAAGCAACAAACCCAGTGCTAAGAGACAGTGGGGGAGGGTTTTGACTAAAGAGTGATAAAATCAAAGGATATTGGCAGATGCGGATACAACAAAAAAATATATATGTAATATAAGTGTGTAATATAAGCAGTTTTAAATAGGTTTTTTGCATTTGTGCCTTTATGAATATGCAGTTTGTGTTCTACGAACTTAAAGGAAAATTCCGGTTTTTAACACTTTTAGCCCATTTTCTGTAGTGTCCAGGATGAAATCGAATGATCGACACCAAAATTTTGACGATTGGTCCTGTCTCTGCTTTTTGGCTCACGCAGAATCCCCCCCTGGCTGCTTCAGAATGGCTTCCATAGTGCATGTCCGATAATGTCCTTAAAACAACCTTAAACGTTCTTTTTTAAAAATATGCTACTCACTGGGTCGTCAGTGCTGTTCAATGACGTTCCAAAAAAAGTTTCGTAAAGAAAAAACGTTCCTGTAGTGTTTTATTTAGCATTTTGTAAATCCCATTGAGTTCTGTTGGAATAGTCAATATCCCCCTGCCACCGGAAACGGAAAGGGGGCCTGTTTACGATTAGTTGTAGTCTTTTCGCAAGGCCCAAGTGTTTCTGCTTCACTCTGTGTACTCCGACGTCGAGGTGCTAACGTCTCTGTTAAACACTTTAAAAAACTCTGAAAATGGAATACGAAAGGTGGATTCTTGAGGAGGACATATTGGACTTTGAGTTTGACGGTAGAGGATACCGTCGCCAACTAGTGGTCTGGAGTGTGCAACGCTTCAGATTCGAACGGGAAGCGGAAGTTTATAAGCGGTTGCGATGTATCGGAAAAAATAGTTCTGGGATTTACAAAATGCTAAATAAAACAAGACAGGAACGGTTTTTCTTCACGAAACTTTTTTTGGAACGTCATTGAACAGCGCTGACGACCCGGTGAGTAGCATATTAAAAAAAAAGAACGTTTAAGGTTGTTTTAAGGACATTATCGGACATGCACAATGGAAGCCATTCTGAAGCAGCCAGGGGGGGATTCTGCATGAGCCAAATAGCAGAGACAGGAGCAATCGTCAAAATTTTGGTGTCGATCATTCGATTTCATCCTGGACACTACAGAAAATGGGCTAAAAGTGTTAAAAACCGCAATTTTCCTTTAATTTAAAGCTAAAGGATATGAAAATGAATAACTGCAAAGTAGTTTTTAAACCTGAAAGTGACATGTGACCGCAGTATTTTCATCTTTATTTAATATGTTTGAAAGTCAGGCGCAAATTCACATCCAAATTTCTGCAGTCATTGTGGCCACAAAGCAGGCCAAGCAGATTGACAGAGAATGCAGTGGAGAAAAGATGTCTGTGCAGGCTGGCACAGATCAATGCAGCAGGAGATAAACAATCTTTAAACAAATTAAACAAATTAGAAAACACCTAACTTACAAATTGTGTCATGTTTTAACAGAGAACATCTTCACTGAGTCTGTAAGGGGGGTGGTGCTGAAAGTAAACGCCCCCAAATTTGTCAGAGGGAAGTTTTTTCTCCATCAGTGTATTTTATGACTGCAGGAAGTATATTTCTGTTTTGTTAAATCATTAGGAGCCTACCTTACTTCGTACTTCGTATAATGGGTGAAGCAGCCGTTGAGAGGAGTTGAAAGTTGAAGGATACAAAGACAATTTTACCATGTTTAACTTTGTCCTCTTGTTCTTAGTACTCTGATATACTTCTAGAGTGCAACATAAACAGTTCTCACCATTGTCATCTATCTCCATCTTCATGGCTTAGAACTTCAACACTGCTCTCAAACTGCCAGTGCAAACTGACTGAAATGGACCACAACCGAACTGCTTTACTAATTTAGCAGTTGTATAAACAATCTTTAGGGATCATTTGCAACAAGGCCACATATTTTATTTTAAATTATTATTGTTTATTTTTTTGCAGTTTTGCACTCTTTGTTTGGATTGTTTGGATATCAGATCCTAAGGGTTTTATTTTTCTTCCCTCCAAATTTCCTTAATGCGGGCATTCCATCTATCATTGTCCATAGACATTACTCCGTACTAAGGTCTGTGTTATGGTCCCATATGAGTTGATGGTTGTCTCCCCCTAGTGGTCTGGAGCTTTTCCATTGCATCTTTTTGTCACTTGCAGTTGGATTTCAATTCAATTCATCAATACATTATTAATCCTAAAGGGGAAATGTTGCTACTTGCAGCAAATCTTGTTTTAAAGCTTTTTTCTGTCTTTGTGTGTTTTTTAGTGTTTAGTGATTTCGTTTTTTTAGTTTTAGTTTTAATGTTAATTTATGTTTTTCCAGTAATTTTTGCATTTGTTGCACATTTTTATATATTTGCAGTGTGTTTGCACCCCTCGATCTATATACAACAGAGGTTAACACAAATTGTTGATTTTGTGTCTTAATTGGAGCTGAACAACATTAAATAACACTTTTTATCTCATTAATCAACAACGATTGTTATCAAACATTGTATCTGATGCAACAGACTGCTTTAGAAATAATATATGGAGGAATATCTGTTTTACAGTTTCATTAATGCAAATTCTAGCTGCCCAGTAATATTTGTGATTTGTGGGATGTTCCACTCTTGATGTTAATTTATAAGGATGCACGGTATATCCGCATTAATAGTGATATTGGCCAATATTGGTTTCTTCATACATATTTTATACATGTAGCTGTAGTTTTTGCATCAGGAGGGGGGGGGGAGCAGGGGATTTTTCATGTGTTTGGGGATGTGAAGTGATTGTGTTTGTGTTTAACTGAAGCAGAGGACTTTGTTCAAAGGGTAAGAAAACGTATGATATATAAAAGCCATTGGTATCAGCAGTGTTGGGAAAGTTCTCTTTCTACGTGAACTAGTTCAAAGTTCAGTTCACACATTTTAAAATGAACTAGTTCAGTTCATAGTTCATAATTCAAAATTTTGAACTAAGTTCACAGTTCCAAAAAATGAACTAGTTCATAGTTCTTTTTTTTTCATATATTGCTCAATTACACCATAGCCTACTGTAGAACCACAGACAGCAATTATTTTATCAGTTGTAACACTGAAACTGTGCATCAGATTTCATCTTCATATCCAGTTTTGAATCCTTATCCAACCAGGGTTTACATTAGCATTGAGGGGACAGCATTTCCCCATTGCTGCTTTAACGCTTTGTTGCTGTAAATTCACTTCACACTAGTAGCAGCTGCAGCCTTCACCCCTACAGTATATTCTCAAAAACATCAGGACAAATGTGCTGCTTGAATGGTCTTTTTTATGAGGAATTATTAAAAGAAAAATAGGAAAGTAGTCTTTAAGGTGCAAATGTTTTTATTTTTATTATTTTTTCCATTTGAAATTTCATTTCAGTACATACTAAAAAGGAATACTGGAATCCTGGAAAATTATACCAGGCAGGTTTAAGTGCAGATTTGTTTACTGAAAGCCGGTTTGCAGAGAAATGTAAGATTGTTGCCATCATCCTCACCGACCACCTGGTCATAAACCTGTTTTAAGTGATCATACTGCTGCTTTGTCGCCTCCACGCTGCTGTGGCTTCCACGCTGCATTTTGTTTTGATGACGCACGCGGCTGTAGGCTACGACACTGGTAGCTGGTGTTGCCAGATTGGGTGTTTTTCCCGCTACATATTAAGGCCTGTTTACGGTGTGATTTAGCCGGGGTTTCGCCTGGAGGACTCTATAGATATCTGGCAACCTATTGAACGGAGTTGAACTGAGAGAGCGTGCCGTTCACAGACACCAGAATGAACGAGTTCACAATAACGTTCATCAGGCAGTAATGCAGTACGTTCAGTTCACGTTCGCCCATAATATGAACAAGTTCATGAACGTTCGTTCAATGAACGCGTTCAGGCACAACACTGGGTATCAGTTATCTGCTGTGACTGCAATATTAATATCAGGATATAAATATCAGTCCAGATATTCATATCCTTGCATCTCTAATATTTTATGGGCCAACATGTTTGAACTTAGGAGATGTAGTTTTGGAGACAGTTTGAGAAGAAACAGAAAAGCGTCATCAGAACGTGGGAAAATCAGCCATTTTTCTCATAATATTCAGCATCGTTATTGTGTTCATATGCTTCTTTGATATTGTGTAGGCTTGGTATAAATAAGCAGAGATGGTGTGTTTATGGTTTTATTTGGTGGATTTATCCTTGATTAGAAACCTGAGAGAAAATGAGAAGAAGAGTCTGTAAGAAAAGGCTGAAATCTTTATCTTTTATCTTAAACCTGAACTCAAACATCTTCTTTGAGATACTTTAATTCAATATTCAGTGTTTCTGAGCTACGCGTGAGAAAAGCGGTGGCCCACAGAAAATGCAATTCAACGGCACAGTGTGTAAAGCCAGGATGGTTCTTGCTTAAAGCGTCATCATTGTGTTACAGCTTTCAAAAATCATTTTCGTCTCTTGGCTTTCTTCCCTGTGATTCATTTCCTTTCACTCCTTGCTCATTTTATTTCTTCTCTCACCGCTCGTATGTCCTTATCTTTAAGTGGCAAAAAGCTGCAACTGGAAGGAAACCCTTCAACAACTCAACAATCAACACATTGAAAAACTTGCCATCCATTCCATTCTAACATATTATGCATTTGCCCCAAAAGGCTAAATTTATTCATTGATTCTTTCTTCTGGTAATCACAGTTGTGTGACTGCTGTATGCATGAGAAATGAACACAGCTCATTAAGAGGCTTGCAGCCTGGGAGCAGGGCTGGCAGCCGGCCTTATTAATAGAGACACTGATTAGAAGATTTAAGCTGTGTATGTGTTTCTCTTCGGTTTACTGCTGCAGTCGGTCTGTGTGAACACGATTCACCTCATGTTCTCTTATCTGTAGGCTCTCATGCATGAAACACATATGATTCCACACAAAGTGTCTGTTCCTGTGATTCCCATGTGCCGTGATCAGTCAGCGATTTTTTTTGCCGGACCTAATGACTAGCTCTAGGAGGTCTGGATGGGAGTGTGTTTCCAATCTCATCAGAGTATTAACCCCAGGGTTCCCAAACACATATTCAAGTCTTCCCAAGACTCCCATGACCAAATGATTGTAGAGGCATGCTGCAGGTTTGGATTAACATCAAAGCTTAGTGACACGTATGGCCACACTGCAGGCCTGATTTTCGGCTGTTAATCTCAGAAAATATTTTCCCCTACTTTTGTTTGTAGCCACAGAACATCTCACAACCATTTTTAACAGAATCAGAGGAGCTCATTTAAACTGCTTTGTTTCCTGGAACAGACTTATGTTTTTCAGAAACTGTTATCAGAGCTACTTCTGGAGCTAAAACGGGCTTTACGCATCCCAAATTCAGTGTAGATGTTTTGTTGGAATGTCCAGGTTTTACCTTACTAGCACTGTTTTATAAGAAAAACGTTTTCAGCTACTCACCCCAGTTAAATAAACGGACATTGATGGACGTCACTCAGGTGGAACTTTATTTTACCTTTGCAAAGAGAGAGCAGTTCATCATACGGTCCTTATTGTATGGTAATCAGCCCTTACTTACAATAATGGAAAGTAGTCAGAGTCTAAACAAATTACAGAAATTCTTGAGAAAGAATCTTGCTTTTTATGGGAATAAGTATGGCTTGTCTACAAACATCCCTCACTCATGCATTGTGTTAGCCTGACGTAGTCCAACTCAATTCTAGTCAGAATCTGAGTCTGATACTGCTCCATAGAGCTGTGATTATGGGGCGTGTTTTGAACGAACCAGGAAAAAAAAATGCCTCTGCACTCAATTGGATAGACCTACAACCAATAAGAGCAACGGAGTGCGTGACGTATGTTAAGCGACGCATAGTTGTTGTCAACAAAAATCCAAGCGTGCAGTTGCACGCCTAGAATAAGAAGATGAGCCTTGATCGCGTTTCTCTGTTCCTCTTTTAAAATTAATTTGCTGTCGATATCTTCTAGAACAGACCTAATAGCAGAATCTACACACCTCAACTCTCCGGCGGCAGCCATTGTTGTTGTCACCCAAGCGCGCTTTGGTCACATGGTTGATTACGTTACTGTTGATCATCAGTCCATCATGGTATAAAGCCCGCCCTGACAATTTGATTGGATCGCCGGAGGGTGGGCGATCATATTCGCGCTACTATGGAGCAGAGCCAGACCGAACTTCCCGACCTCAAACCTTGTGGGCGGGACTAAGTTCGGAATGGCACCTAGGCTAGCATTGTGTAGCTTTGCAGGTGAAATAGACTTAGTGAAAAACTTTTATAGTAAGTAAATAGCATATATCAATATATGAAATAAGAGAAATCTAAATTTTCCGAGCACACAATGTTAGATGGCCCGGACTCAATTCAGATGCTCAGGAAACATCCAGCAGTTACAAAAGCCTTTAATGGTAAATGCAGGAAGTCCTGAATCTTTACAGCACCATTAACGTCACAGGACGTTTTGCAGCACATTCAGACAGAATTTACACTGCTGAACTTAAGCAAAAATCATGATCCAAAATGATTAAATGTCTCTGTTTTTCAAGTGCATATCCAGCTGCTGCCATTCTTTTTTGGATCTATGCCTGTTAGTCTGGGGAGGGCAGGAATTGACACACAAGGGATGTTTTCAATTTCAAAGACAGCATCCTCCAAAGACCTAATCTGGACTGGGTCCTTCGGGGTTGATGAAAATAAGGAGGCCGAAAGAGATTTTCTGGATTATAGCAGGCCCAGCCTTCTTGAAGCGAAACATCTTCAAATCTTGGAAACCAAGTCCAGTGGATTGTTTTTTAAACCTTTTCGAAATACACAGTATGCAGGGCGCTAGCCTACTGGATTATGGAAATGGACCTTAAATTGACTGGATTACAGTGTTATTAGCTATCTGCTTGGTACGTTGAAGTATTTGTTGTTCTTCCTTCTCCTGTACTCCATTAACTCTGCATGTAAAACTGTTAAAGTCTGGAACACTGTTATTCTTCTTCATTAACACAGTCTCAGACCAGTTTAGTGTTAAACAGGCTTTCCAGAAGTTGCTAGAACTCGCGTTTCAGCAACTTCTAATGTATGATGGGACGATAAAGGAGAACGATGCAGGAGTTAGTCCTTTGATGAAGAGACCCCATTCTTACTGCCTACTGATGGAGGTTAGAGGGACCTGTGACATCTGTGTACGGCAGCCTGGATTTGGTCACTGAGAATGTTATGTGGTGCACTTCAGAGTATCGTGGTTGGAAAAGGTGTTATATAGGTTGAGACCTTTTAGCCTTGATAACAAATGAACTTGTTTGTTTTCCAGTGAAGGTCCATAAATCAGACCACCCCCACTCCTGGGACCCCTGTATGAATTACTGTCACCCTTCAAACTCAACCCTTTGCAAAACCAGTTCCACCCTAAACAAGTCATGGACTGCCTCCAACAACAACACCATCAACAGCCTGGACTACTGCAAGTGTAAGAACTGAGTCCTCTAAAGCCGGGCATACACTGCACGATGTTTAGCCCTTTTCCTGCCGATCCTCCAGTTGTATGAGAATTTGTCACTCAGGCCGACTTTCAGCCTGATCTTGCTTCGTGCGTCATGTAGTGTACAGGGGTAACAAGGGGCAATCAGCCTCTCATGACCATCTCCCGATCAGGAATCGTGAGGTTGGGAGAAAATCAAACATGTTTGAAATTCAGTTGGCCGTTGTAAGGTCCCATCAGAGCGTTGGGCCGCACAGTGTGAGAACATGCATCGTGATCTGGGAACTTTTAAACCCTGCGGCTACATCGTACAGTTTGATATGTAGCTGCGTGCAATGATTGAAAATATCGCACAGTGCATGCCCGGTTTAAGGTTGTAAGCTGGTTAAAATCCTTCAAAGTAAGGCTGCCACTTGGTTGGGGATACTTAACTTAGCAGTCATCAGCACTTACCCAAAGCAATTGTTAAGTATTAGGAGTTGCTTGGCAGGAAAAGGTCTTTCCCTTGACCTCCTATATCTGGGATATTCTTCTAGTTTTTCCAAAGCAAGAGGAAATTTAGCTCTTCCTCCTGCTCTGGTGCAACAGAAGTGAAGTGTGGGAATTTGTTATGTAAAAAGTGATATGCTCGACCAAGAAATCTCCAACATCCATGTGTGAGTCTGTGTGGCTCACCGTATCCCCAACTCTGTGCGACCCTCAACACTCTAACAGACATTTCTCTACCTTTTCCTGTTTAACCTGCATTCATCTGATTCATTGTTAGTACACAATAACAAACAGATATTCTCTCTGTCCCTTGCAGCTCTCGTTTGTGCCAGTTTCTCTACCAGCTCTACAACCACGTCAGGCCCCAGCAGCCTGAGCTCCAACACGTTGCCGCGCCCAGCAGCTCCCATGAGTCCTCGCAACTCACTGCTCAAACGAAGGCAGAGGAAGAAAGAGCACAAGAGTTCTTGTGGGTTCAGCCTGTTAGTTAAATAAGGAAGGTTTAACAGACAGTCTATCTAATATGTATCAATGTGTGTGCTTAGTGTCCCTGGCATCCAGTTCGGTAGGTCCTGGTGGTCAGGTGGTCCACGTAGAGACAAGTGAGGTTGTCTTGACCGGTGATCCACTCAACGGCTTTGGAGTACAGCTGCAGGGAGGAATCTTTGCTACTGAAACACTCTCTGCTCCACCACTCATCCGGTTCATAGAGCCTGACAGTTCAGCTGAGAGGTGAGGACCCTGGCCTAGTGACATGCTTGGGCTCTAGTTCCTATGAGGGGTGTGTCTAACTATACTGTAATACTTCCTTAAAACTATACCCAAAACCAATACCTTTACTCGTTAAGTTGGTTGGTTTGCGTGATGATATGTTTCTATAGCTGCTTAATCCTTCCAGAGGCTGCTGGGTGGGGAAGGCCTTTCTCCAGTGGTCGGTCACTTCTCCGTATTGCTCAGTGCTTATAGAGAATTCAAAATGAATGACATGAACCTCAGAGGTATGAGCCTTTTTTATAAGTTTCAGCTGAATCGGATTTAAATGTTATTTTAAAAAAAACAAGACGTGGAAAAAAACAAAAAGATATGAGGCTTAAAAGGACATAAAATACCATAATTGACAGGTGAAGAAAGAGGGAGATATTATACAGTTTTTAAAAAAATGCAAACACACTTAAAGTGGTTTCAATCAAAAACTGCATCGTAAAATGTTTAAAATACAGAAAGAAAATAACTACAGAAAACAATGGATAAAAATACATGATTGATTTTTAAAAACCCTACTTTGTAAAATTCAATCCAGTCAGTTGGATTTTTTCTACTTGCAGCTCATAGAAACACATTTCAGATTTTGAAAATTGCATGGAACCAAAGAGAACAAACAGGCATATTTTTCACACAAAAATGGAGGCTTTTTGAAAAGAATTTTCATTTCCTGCTGAAATGTTGTTTCCTAAAGGTTGGTGAAGACTCTCATTCATCCAGCTCATAGCCATTCCAAAAAAGTTCAAAACAATCCACTGGACTTTCTTTACAAGTTTGAAGACGTTTCGCTTCCCATCCAGGAAGCTTTTTCAATTCAAAATGTCAGAAATAGCGTTGAGTTCAGGGTTTTATACAGTAGCCCAACAAAGCCTTGTTTTTGTTTAGAAAACAAATGCAAATTGAACCGGACAAACGGGTCCACCCCTTTGGAATGGGGGTCGTTTGGCTTCTTTTGTTAGCCTGTAATGCCCCATACCTGTCTATGTCTCTGAAAGGGGGGTTGTTAAAGGGAATTGTTGGTCTGGCTAAATAGGCAAGGTGTTCTGTTCCCTTGTATGGGGGTTGGGGTTGCAATGATAGCAGGAAGGAATCAACTAAATTGCTTCATTGTAGGTTTTTGAAAGCTGAAATCCACTCCATCTGTTTAAGGTTGTTTTTTCTTTCGTAACTTCATGCCTCGCTCAAACCACCTATTTTCTTTGTCCAAAATAAAAAAGAAAACAAGAACGTACAATGCAGCAATTGAGTTGATCCCTTCCCGCTATCATTGCAACCCCCACCCCTTTACAGGGGAACAGAAGACCTCACCTATTCAGCCAGGTTCAGCCAGTTAGAAGATTGGTTCCTTTAACCAAAATAAAGATTTACAGGAATAGTACACCCAAAACATGATTAGCCTTCATTTTCTACTCACCCCCATGCTGAACAACACTCTGGAGTACTTTTTTGATATCTCAAATGCATCTGGAGATCTGGGAGGCTTCTTGCTGTCTGCTGACATTCAAATAATGGAGGTCTATGGCGCCCGAGGCAGAAAGGTCCATAAAAGTCCACAAAAAACGTGTCAATATTCCTCCATACTGCTCGTCCAATGTATTCCAAGTGTCCTGAGTGGGTAGCGTCCAGAATTTACTCGAAACGAAGTCATTTAGAATGTTTTTAGAGCATAAACAGTAGTGTATAGGATTCCCTAAAAGCGCGTTCACGAGTCTACGGAAACCGCGGCAGACCAAACCAGATGAAAGTGCGCATTCAGCTCGGCAAAGAACTCATGCTCTTCCTCAACACTGAAGTCCTCAGACATTTTTCTTTCGTTGTTTCTTTCTTTGCACAGGTAAACAGCACATTTCTTCTTCTACGCTTGCATTATCGGCAGAGCAGACGCTGAATGCGCACTTTCATCTGGTTTGGTCTGCCGGCTTCCGTAGCGTCGTGAACGTGCAGGCGCGCGCTTTCAGGAAATCCTATACACTACTGTTTATGCTCTAAAAACATTCTAAATGAATTCGTTTCGAGTAAATTATGGAGGCTACCCACTCAGGACACTTGGAATACATTGGACGAGCAGTATGGAGGAATATTGACACGTTTTTTGTGGACTTTTATGGACCTTTCTGCCTCGGGCGCCATAGACCTCCATTATTTGAATGTCAGCAGACAGCAAGAAGCCTCCCAGATCTCCAGATGCATTTGAGATATCAAAAAAGTACTCCAGAGTGTTGTTCAGCATGGGGTGAGTAGAAAATGAAGGCTAATCATGTTTTGGGTGTACTATTCCTTTAAAGTATGCAGCTGCCTGTTTGAACTCCAAAGACAGATTCCTGTTGTTGCTCTGATGTATTTCACTGCTGTTCTGCTGCTGTGTTAATGCCTCTGTGTGCAGATGTATTGATTTAATGCTGCATTAGTGGAGTTATTCAGTGTGGCTCTAATGTGTGCTGAGATGTTGGTGTTTGAGTGGGAGGATGTGTGAGAATGATGTGTGGTGTTGGAGCAACTGGGATCGACTACGTAGGCGTGCAAGCATGTGCTTTCAGTTTAAAGGGGTTTTCCAAATATCGATGCGAGTGTGAAACGCGTGCACGTTGGTTGGTGCTTCCTGTCGCTGGCTTCCACACAACTTTGTTTGCATAAGGTGGTTAAAAACTATTATCCATTGTGTTTCTTTACTGGCTGATGTTTCCATCCTATGAATTGTTTCTTTGAGTGCTGGGTGTGTTTCTACACCCCGAGGCCACACTCCCCTACTCCATTAGCGCCCACGCTAAAAACACTAATTAGTTTGCTTCCTCCTGCTCATGCCGGAGGAATCGATAAGTATACGTCTTTCAATTCGAAATCACAGCTGTCTGCCTCGAAGGACTCTTAAGCTGGAGAGAAACTCTGTTTTTTAGGCTTCAAAGATTCTGTAAAGACCTGGAGTTCAAATGAGCAGAGCCGTTCCAGAAGATTCAGAAGAAAAATTATGCCACAATAACTGAGCAGAAAATTTAGCTTGTTGTTTGTTTCTGTTTTGTTTTTTTGGCTTCTTGTTTGAACTAGAAAACCCGACAGGAGTGCGCTCTCCACAGAGACACCTTTGACACACACACACAGAGCCAACGATTAAAAATCTGAGCTGCTTTCAAATCCAGGGGAGATTTATCATTACGCAATACAAGGCAGGCCTAGGGCCCAAAGTATGGTTAATACAACTATTCTCTCATCTGTGCACATTGATTATGTTTTTGATAAAAATTATTTCGCTAAAATACCATCAGAACGCTTATAATATTAAGTGTGTCTCAACCCTGCCAGTCCATTTGTTGCACATGTTCAGAAAGGTCCAAACAGACAGCAGCAAACCATTTAAAAACAAAGTATGTGAAGAGCTGTGTTCCCAAATTAGCGTTTTTATCGCTATATTTAGCGACTTTTCAGACCCCTCTAGCACATTTATTTCAAAAAAGCATCTAGCGCCAAATGTAGCGCCTTTTTTTTGCTACTGGAGACAACATCTAAAGGCAGCGAACTCTGCTCTCCAGAGCAAGTAGATTGGTAACCCCGCCTCCTGCTCTCCTCTATCTTCTCTGCTGTCATGATTCATGCAGCTATTATTTCATCCAAATGAAAAATGGAGAACAGATAAGCAGATCATGGCTTGTATACAGTGAAAAGCAGGACTGGATTATTTACTTTTGCCTTTTTGGAAACACAGGAAGGAGCAATCAGCTAAGTGAGCTTAGTGCTTGGAAAAAATCTTTCATTCCTTTAGAGACAGCATGAAAAGTCAGCTGAGTACAAAACATAGAGAGGAAAACAAGAAGAAAAGGGACAAGCAGAGAGGGACACAACCTAGAACAGATAATGGATGTCTATTCTAGTATAATTTCTGTATCTGCATGATTGCCTATTTTATGTGTTGTCTTCTCAGTTCAGAGGATCCCCTGCCTGTCTTTGCCTAGGGCCCCAAATGTCCTAAATCCGCCCCTGTCCAAATCGCCACAACCTCAGAAACTGATGGGCACCAAAAAAACTTCTGATGATCAACCTATACTGATCAAAATAAACCAACTGGAAAATAAACGAGCACAACATCTATATTTTCCCAAGAAATGACTGAACACAGACCAGATCTTCATCAATCTTCCAGCTGATAAAGCTGTGCACATACTTATGCGTTAGTATGGTTTAAATTAATGTAGGATTCTGTTTTATGTATACATGAAATGGGCTGAGCAATGTTCCTTTATCTTTAGAAAAAACTCCTAGATGACTGCAAAGACAAATTCTCCTCTAGAAAACCTAAAAAAATAATTCATAACAGAGCAAAGATTGATTTGAGATGACGTGTTTTGAATTGGTGCTATATTAATAAACTGAATTGTAAATTGAACATTCTGTATCAGTCCTCTCTATGTTTATATTGTTGATACTGACTTGATGCGTCTGTGTCCGGTCTTCCTGACATGACCTTGATAACTGTTGTAGGTGTGGCCTGCTGCAGGTTGGAGATCGTCTTTTATCGATCAACGGAATCCCCACAGAAGATGGAACCCTGGAGGAAGCCAATCAACTCCTCCGTGACGCTGCATTGACCAATAAGGTCACGTTGGAGGTCGAGTTTGATGTAGCAGGTTTGTGAGGTGGCAAAATGTCTCCAACACGTTTCCTCTTCCAACGCACCAGGAACTTCATTTCCTTTCATTTGTTTTATTTGACTCTTTTCACTACAAGTGTGAAAAATGTTTGCACTGTCCAGCAGAGATAACTAAAATAATCGCAGCTTGTTATTGCAGGACATAGTCCCATTAAGAGGCCTTAAACTCCACTAGAACAGCCTGGGTTCAGTTAGGGAACTTTCTCAGCACTTGTCGTGTCACATCAGGCTGATGCATTTAATAAAAAAATAAACCAACAAACTGGTTAGATTTTAATCACTTTGTTTGGAAATTGATACATTTTTAATTCTCATTTATATAGAGAAAGGTAGTCATTTAAAAAAAGCAGCTGAGTGTGAAACAATCTTCATGTACGTTCTTCAAAAATAAATTGTAGAAAATACTCAACGGCCTATTAATAAGAATCTCAATCTAAGGTTCAAATAAAATGAACAAATCTATCAATTGACAATCTAAAATATATATATATATATATATATATATATATATATATATATATATATATATATATATATATATATATATATATATATATATATATATATATAATGCAGTATGTATTTCAAAGATTTTAAAATCATTAAAAATAACTTATTAATAGGAAACAAAGACAAGAAGACATAAAAAACTCTTTTGTTTATTGACAAAATTTCTAGTTTGAACTCGCTACTGAAAAGTATAATCCTTACATTTTATCTAAAATATTTCATAAAACATGTTTTTTTTATCATTTTGTTCTTTGAGACAAAGTTAAAAGCAAGCTGACCTAAGTTGTAAAATCAACAGGTGTTGTTTTATGTGCTTCTATCATGTGGAAAGGAAAAAAAATCTGTGGAGGATTTTCTGATAAGTTTTCAATCGTATTTAACGCCTTATGCTCATACTTGGTCAAAGTGCAAATAAGGACTTTGCTGCAAAGTTTCCACACAAACTGACATTATTATGGGTTTCTATGCCCCTCCGTGTGGACTAGGATCAGAATGCTGCTGCCTGCATCCTCACTAGAACTGAGAAGTTAGAACACATCAACGAAGTTCTAAATTCCTCCCACTGGCTCCACGTACCGCAGAGAATAGACTTTAAAATCGTTCTGTTTGTCAGAAATCACTGAATTTTGTAAAGGAATACCCAAAACCTGACATACAGTAATGAATTGTAATGGTAAAACACTTTACCAAAAAGTCTGCTTAGCTTAGCCCAGTGCAGATCGAGGTTGCACAGGGGGCGGAGCTGGAGACCGCTCTGGGGAATTTGGACGCACTACATCTGAGGTCAGGGATTAGCGGACCAGGGTCCGGACCCACCTGCTGGCTAATCAAGACCCAACCTGATTTAAAACATTTATAAATTACAGTATGTTGTCTAATTTCACTTGCGCCGCTTCTCCTGTTAATACGGTAAAGCCCTCTGGATCGTCTGGCACTAGGCTACATGTGATGCCAATTAGCCAATGGGCTGCTGTCAGTCTGGGTTGCTGCTGCTGCTTCTTTTAGACACAGCAGGCAAACCTGTGGCAAGCTGGGCGATGGGAAAGGTTTAGTAGTTTTTTGTGTGTGTGCGTAAGACTGCATAAAAAGCACTGAAACGTCTCCAGGGTCGTAAAACAGTGACTGACAGATAAAACACAAGCAAAAGTCTGGAAGCTGCTTGAACTGTTTTAGATCATTTGTTGCCATATTTACTGACGGGAGAAAATACATGTATGTTTACAAATTCCCAGCAAAATTTGATAGTTTAATTTGAAAGATCTTTAAAAAGTTTGCTTTTAGGAATATAAACACTGTGATGCTGTATATATATGCAACCTGTAGCTCTTTGGTCTTTCTTATTTATAATAAAAATTTTATTTAAATATAAGGTATTAAAAAATAATGGTTAATGCTGTATCTTTCATGGAATAATTTACTTATTCCTGGAAATTAAATGTTTTTAATAAGTACTTGTAAATTACTATTTTTTCTTTACATTAAGTCAAAAAATTACTTATTGGAACATATGTAACCATCCTCTTTTTATGAAAGTGTATATTTTTTCGTTTTTAAAATCTTAAAAAAGAAATAAAAAGATGGTCTCTTTCCAAATGAAGGAGTCTGAACGAACTGATCTCAATGATGCATAAATAACTGATATATTTTCATTTATTAGTGAATATGGATGTTATTTCTCATTATTTGTGTTTCAATAAAGGGTGAAAACTTTCAGGGTTTTTAAGATTTTTAAAGCAGAAGCAGATCTCATAGATTTTTACTAAACGTTAAATAACAGCAGAACTTACACCCGTTATTTGTCTCTAAACAGATCTTTAGTTTAAAGGAAAGGGATCATTAGTTATACCTAAAACTAATATGTTGCAGGGATTTAATGGATATAACTTTAATCAGAAAAAAAATGGAAATAATAATTTTCGTCACGATCACTTAGTCTTGGAGCGGCCATTTTTGCCCAAATATAGTAGCCCCTCCCTCCTGCCATCTTCCAGCAGTGACGTCACGGTGCGGTAAGCCTAGCGCCATTCTCCCCGCTTTACAAGCTAAATCAATGGGAACTACTAGACACATCTGCAATCAACAACAATTATTGAAGATTTCCAGAGGACTTCACCATTGAAATTCACCAGAGCTATAGTGAAACTGACAATGCCCACGTGCATGGCAGCTGGATGCTGGAATACATCGGGGAAAAGTAACAAAAACAAAAACAACAGTTATTTCACCTTCCCGATTAATGATCCCCCACGGACGGGTTGGTCGTTGGATCGCCAACTTGAAGAGGGAGGATTTGCCATCGAACTTCTGGCCAGAGAAAAAACCCGTAATATGTAGCCAACATTTGGAAGAAGAATGCTTTCAAGATGACTTGGATAATAGCGCGTTGTGACAAACACCAGATACAGCACTGGGACTTGATCAACAGCCGATACCGCACCATGATAATGTCACTAACCAGTAGGTGGCAGTAGTGTTCTTTGACAAACATGGATGCCTCCAGTAAAGCACATTCAAATGAAAATTACTCTTTATTAAAAAACACTTATCATTTATTGAACAGTATGTAATAATTTTATATTTAAGTACTTTCAGAAGTTTGAATTCTGAATTTGACCGGACTTGTCCTTTAACAAAATCACCTTTTAAATGAATTAATTGTCATTTCAAATGTCCGATTAGATAAATTCACTGAGCTTTTTTTTTTACTGTGGTTTTGTCTCAGGATCCTGAACGATCTGTTTCTGTTCCAGAGTCCGTGGTGCCTAGCAGTGGGACCTTCCATGTCAAGCTGCCAAAGAAACGAGGAGTTGAACTAGGACTCACCATCAGTGGTAGGAATAAACTAAACATTCCTGTAAAAAGTTTGCTTTTGGCTACAGTGGTGTTCTTATGACGGTTATTCTAATTAGTTCATAGTTGGAATAACTAAATTCATATAATTTATAAACCGCCTGCCTTCACAGCCAGGTTAACATGTTCCTGTGAAAGTTATCCCCACAGGGCTGAGGGGGCGGAGCTAGACATCATCAGGGTTTAGCCTATATTTCATGTTAATGAAGAGGATTTGGAAAATAAAAAAGGAAGAAGCGATTGCTACACGCCACCTATTTGTTTATCACACATTTAATCATTTTTAAAATCTCAATATTGTCAGGGAAATTATTTATTGCCTGAGGGTGTTATGCAGAACACCTTTAAAACCGTAGTTGCAGGAAAAACAAGACATGGTGTATAAAGAACTCTTGAACTAATGGAACTTTTTCAACCTTTTCCACAATTCAGACTTAAAGATATGAAATCTTAATTTTTTGGTGAAGAATCAATAAATCGGACACAATCAATATAATTCAATTCAGTTTATTTCTATAGCGCCAATTCACAACACATGTCATCTCAAGGCACTTTACAGTTCACCAGATCATCCAGGTAAATTGATTCAAAGTTTTCTAAGGAAAATCAGTGATTGCATCGACTCACTGACTCGAATGCAGTTCCTCACACTAAGCACACTAATGCTTGTAGCGACAGTGGAGAGGAAAAATTCCCTTGAAGAAACCTCCAGCACACTGGAAAAATCGAAATCTAGATAACTAATTTTTTTCTTAACATAAGTGCATTTGTTCTTGGATTGGGGAGGTAAAAGAGACATTTTGCCAATGGAACAAGACAATTTACACTTAAAATAAGAAAACACAACTCCATTGTCTTATATCAAGTGCATTTTATCCAATTGTCTTATTTTAAGAGTAAAAATACTCATTCAATTGGCAAACTATCTCATTTTTTTACCATTTTTTTACCTTCTCAAATTAATGGTAAATAATATTGTCAATCTAAGAAATTTTTAGTTATTTCTAGATCTTTTTCCAGTGCAGAACCAGGCTCAGTGTGAGCGGCCATCTGCCAAGGGCGAGTGGGGTTCAAGGAGACAGAAGCAGAGACACAGAAAGCAGCTGTAAAAGGCGGCCCCTCCAGGAAACACACAGCCAGGCAGATGAGCTCAGAGCCAGCTCCCATGTAGGAGGATGAAGAGAGCACATCCAGCCAGTCACAGTCAGAGAAACAGGACTACACTGAAAAACAGGCCGATCTCCAGCATCTATAAACAAAGGTGTTGATGGCAGCAGCACAGCTGATATTTCTCACCAGGATGGAGTCACAGCCAAACAGGAACAGACCAGATGAAGCTACTATGAGAAAAAGCAGAGAGAGCAGAACGTTAGAGATTGAACTAACAGATTCTGCAGAGTGGGAGAATAGAGATAGAATGAAGCAGAATGATGTAAAAAGGGGTCCCTATGTCCTCCAGCAGTCTAAGCCTATAGCAGCATAACTATAGAGATAGCTCAGGATAACCTGAGCCACTCTAACTAGAAGCTTTATCAAAAAGGAAAGTTTTAAGCCTAGCCTTAAAAGTAGACAGGGTGTCTGCCTCACGGACTAAAACTGGTAGTTGGTTCCACAGGAGAGGAGCCTGATAACTAAAAGATCTGCCTCCCATTCTACTTTTAGAAATTCTAGGAACCACTAGTAAACCTGCAGATTGCTCTGTTAGGGACATAATAAACAATCAGTTCTCTGATATAAGATGGGGCAATCATGTAGTGGAACTGAATTTATTTTTTATTTATTTTTTATTTTTTTTTAAATAAAACTGAAAGTATAGGTGTGCAAGTTAATTATCCCCCTTGAGTTAATACAAATAAAATTTAAAATGCGATTATAATGTGATTTCCTGGATTTCGTCTCTCATAGTTGAAGTGTACCTATGACGAAAATGACACACCTCTCTCATTATTCTAAGTAGGAGAACTTATACAATCAGTGGCTAACTAAATACATTTTGGCCCCACTGTACATTATAGAAAAGTTTATAGAATAGTAGTTTAGAGGTTCTCAAACTACACTTTTACAATCATTGTAATTTCATCCCTGAGGTATTTTTTAAATATATTTTTAAATATTTTGTTAGTTATACGACTGAATTGTAAAGTGACCCGTTATGAAGCTAAGGCGGAAATTCAACTGAAGAAACTCTGATTACTTCCATTCAATCTGAGGCTGATCCGCCTCCGACGCAGCCAACCCGCTTCAAGCCACTTTCCTCGCTGCCCAATCATCTTCCACCACTCTACTTAAAGCCACTCCAAATCATCTCTAGGCCTGCTCTTCAACAAGCACAAGATCCATCGCTCCTATGTCGGACTTTGATTCAGACAACCCACCTCCATCCCCTTCTCCACCATTGTAGTAAGCTCATCCGACTCCTCCTCGATGCTCCTTCAACCTCACCTCCAGTGTGTACTCCCTCCAGACTTTCATGGAGTTCCCTGTCACCTTAAACGGTCCGGCAGAAGACCGCCACGTTGAGCCTGGTTCTGCCAGAGATTTCTTCCCAAAGGGGAGTTTTTTCTCTCCACAGTCGCTTCATGCTTGCTCTTCATGGACAGTTTATGCAAACTTTGTTCATTCAGTGACATCTAACTCAAGCATCACCCTGTATACCAGCCTCTATGGATTAACCAAACTTCATCTATCTAAACTCCACCACCAGTTTCAGGCCCGGGGGGAATATCCTTATTCTCATACATCAGTTTATCTGCATTAAAGTATAAATCAGCGTTTTACGTTTCCTGCCGAGGCCTGAGCGCCAAAGTTCAAACTATCGTATCAATAAACTCTTCTAATTGCATCTTTCTCTCTCTGTGAGTTTTTCAGATTGAAATATAATTAGAATACAGTTAAAATGACACAATTTAATTTAATAATGAAATTTAGTTTGGAATGTGTTTAAAGTTTAAAAATACAATTCCTTCATTTTTTCTAGAAATAATAAAAATCTAAATCAATGTAGAGTTAAAAAAAAAAATAATTGTGCGGAGGTGATGATTCCTGATCCTCACAAACATTTCTGTCTGCGACTCATCAAACATATTAAATAACTTTATATTTAGAAACTTAGGGTGTAATTTTTTCATTTTAAATAAATTCTTTTTTTGAATGACTTTAAATGTAATTGCTCATTTAATGACACATTTTACAATTTAATGGTATATTTAACCCCCCATACCTCCACCACCGCCCCGCCCATTTTAGATTCTAGTATAAATTGTGTCTGCTTTCCTTTCTTTAACGGAGTAAGATGTAGCTGCTGTTCACTGATCTCTATTTATTCACTGGATTGCTGATTGCCCAAAAAAAGTGAAGCTAACGTCCATATTGTCACTCCCCACTCCCACAGATACATGCAGTAAAAATGCCCATATGTGTAGGAGTTCGCTGGCTGTGGGAAGATGTTCCACAGGTAGTTTCATAGTCAGTGGATGAACTAACCAAGAAAATCTACATATAAGCCGATGTATCCTATAGGATACTTTGTAGCATAACATTAGTCTGGCTACCTCAGACCATTGACTTTGTGTCTATTGTTAGACAATGGAAAGTAGAGTAAATAGAAAAAAATTCACTGTGAAATGTCAATGTAGTAATTGTTTATTAAGTGGATGACGCTGTCGTTTTTGTAGTGTTTATATTCCATGTTATCTTGACAGGAAAAAAAGCAACTCAAACATTTGACCCGTGTGTGTGTGTGTGTATATATATATGTATGTTTATATATGTACACTGCTACAAAAAATTAAAGGAACACTTTACACACTAGATCTCAGTGGGGCATACTGATACGGACTGGGTGATGTAGGATGCCACATCATTTGATGGAAATGAAAATTATCAAACTACAGAGGGCTGAACTTAACAACACTACTAAATTTAGAGTGAAAAAATGTTGCGGCAGGCTAGTCCATTTTGCTGAAATTTCATTGCAGCAACTCAAAATGGTATTCAGTCATTTGTATGGCCCCCACGTGGGTGTATGCATGCCTGACAACGTTGGGGCATGCTCCTAATGAGACGACAGATGCCGTCCAGGGTATCTCCTCCCAGACCTCGACCAGGGCATCACTGAGCTCCTGGACAGTCTTGAGTGCAACCTGGCGGCGTCGGATGGATCGAAACATAATGTCCTAGAGGTGTTCTATTGGATTTAGGTCAGGCGAGCATTGGGGCCAATCAATGGTATCAATTCCTTCATCCTCCAGGAACTGCCTGCATACTCTCGCCACATGAGGCCGGGCATTGTCGTGCACCAGGAGGAACCCAGGACCCACTGCACCAGCATAGGGTCTGACAATGGCTGCAAGGATTTCATCCCGATACCTAATGGCAGTCAGGGTGCCGTTGTCTAGCCTGTATATGTCTGTTTGTCCCTCCATGGATATGATTCCCCAGACCATCACTGACCCACCACCAAACCGGTCATGCTGAACGATGATACAGGCAGCATAACATTCTCCACAGCTTCTCTAGACCCTTTCACGTCTGTCACATGTGCTCAAGGTGAACCTGCTCTCATCTGTGAAAAAGCACAGGGCACCAGTGTTCTGTGGCAAATGCCAATCGAGCTGTTCACAATTTTCAGATGTGTGAACATGATTGCACAAGGGTTTTCTAATCATCAATTAGCCTTCTGAGCCAATGAGCAAACACATTGTCCCATTAGAACACTGGAGTGATAGTTGCTGGAAATGGGCCTCTATACGCCTATGTAGATATTGCACCAAAAACCAGACATTTGCAGCTAGAATAGTCATTAACCACGTTAGCAATGTATAGAGTGTATTTCTTTAAAGTTAAGACTAGTTTAAAGTTAGCTTCATTGAAGAATACAGTGCTTTTCCTACAAAAATAAGGACTTTTCAATGTATATATATATATGTATGTATATATATGTATATGTATGTATATATATGTATATCTATGTATATATGTATATATATATATGTGTGTATATGTGTGTGTGTACATGATTTATAGACTTTATTGACTTCCTAATGACTATGCAATTTGAGTAAAGTCATCTACTGATGCTATGAAACAGCCAGTGTGTGTCAAAGTAATGAATTTATCTTTATTTTAAAAGTCCCCCTGAAAATGAGATCATCGTTGGTCGATGCTGTAGCGCACATATTGTTTATATTGAGACCGGTCTAACTAGGGAGTACCAATATGGCGGACGGTGGCTTCACTTCAACCCTGTACTACCAACGGGCAATCAGCGATCCAGTGAATAAATAGAGATCAGTGCTGCTGTTATATAAGAGGTATTGCTCTGTATGTCTGAGACACAGAATGGAGCTGTGGCACCATCTTCTGGTCTGAACATCCTCAGCCAGAGAAGATGATTTTATAGGGGAAAAAACTGAAACCCTGAAAATGATGATGTTTTGATCAGGAATTATTATAAATAATTAAACACCTTTCTTTTCAGATATAAACATTTTTTTTTTTTTTACCATTGCTGCTCATGTTCTAATGATATAATGATAATGTTATTTTGCCAGTGACAATCCTGTTTTTTCCTTTCTCTAATGTGACCTGCTCTACTTTTAAAGCCAGCAAGAAGCCCGGAGAAACCCTCATTATTTCTGACATCAAGAAAGGCAGCATGGCTCACAGGTAAATGATTTATTCATAGGAATCATCTTCACAGCACATTGATTCTGCTGCCAGTTGATTAACACAAAAGGAGGCTGCTTCTCTCTCCTCTGGTCACCCTTCATTCCTACTCTTCTTCAGAACAGGAACCCTGGAGCCCGGCGATAAGCTTCTGGCCATCGACAACATCAGGCTGGAGAACTGCTCCAAAGAAGACGCAGAGCACATCCTGCAGCAGTGTGAGGCACTGGTCAAACTAAAGATACGCAAAGATGAGGACAACTCCGGTAATTCTGTCCTTCCTGAAGAAAAATCAGAAACCAGTTCCTTGCTTTAAAAGCAGTTTCTGTTTTCATTTTTTTGTTTGTTTTGGGTGCAGATTCCTCATTAGGTTCTTTTAGAGCTGCAAACTTGTGTTTAACCACAAGGTGGAGCCATGCTCCACAATTTAGAAACAGCATCAGTGTAACAATGTGAGTGAAACCAGAACAATCATTTATGGAAATACACATTTCCTAAAAGCAGAGACCTAAAAGAAATGTGAAATTGCTTTCCTTTGGGATGCTGCTGTGTAAGAAAGATATATCCTCTGTCTCATGGTCCTACTGTGAGCCAATACTTCCTCTTTCTATAGTTTTGCAAAGTTTAAAGTCTTCATTTGTAGTTAGAAATCTCTGCTTTTTCTCATAGTAGCTTCATCTGGTCTGTTCCTGTTTGGCTGTGACTCCATCCTGGAGAGAAATATCAGCTGTGCTGCTGCCATCAACACCTTTGTTTATAGATGTTGGAGATCAGCCTGTTTTCCAGTGTAGTCCTGTTTCTCTGACTGTGACTAACTGGATGTGCTCTCTTCATCCTCTGAAATGGGAGCTGGCTCGGAGCTCGTCTGCCTGGCTGTGTGTTTCCTGGATGGGGCCGCCTTTTACAGCTGCTTTTTGTGTCTCTGCTTCTGTCTCCTTGAACCCCAGTGGGCCTCAGCAGATGGCCGCTCACACTGAGTCTGGTTCTGCTGGAGGTTTCTTCCTGCTAAAAGGAAGTTTTTCCTCTCCACTGTCGCTACAAGCATGCTTAGTGTGAGGGATTGTATTTGAGTCAATGAGTCGATGCAATCAACTGGTTTTCCTAAAACTTTAAATTAACTTGACTGGATGATCTGGTTGAACTGTAAAGAGCCTTGAGATGACATGTATTGTGAATTGGCGCTATAGAAATAAACTGAATTGAATTGAAATGGGGGAAAAATATCCTGAGCAGAAAAACAGATTTGATCAAATCTAAACCTAAATTCTTAAGTTGATTTAGTCGGACTAAAGAGTTCAAAGCAGCAGAAAAAAATAAATAAAAATCAAACAAAGATAACTTCTTTAGAGCCCTGTAGTTTTGGCTCGTCTGCACGACTGTAAACCAAACACTGCAGAAAGTGAAGGAAGTTTTGGCCGTGTTTCACAGCCTCAGGACTGAACTCTCTCTGTAGCAAAGTACTGGATGGTCCAGTGTGACCCAGCTGACGCCTGGCCTGCGATTGACTCATCAGCAGGACAATGATCCCCAGCAGAGCAGAGACATGGAAAGAGAAATTGAGCAGACATTGAAAAGTCCTCATCCTGCACAGGGAACAAAGGCCTGAGCAGAAACAGATCAATAAAGAAACATGAGGCCGTTCAGCAGGCCTTAGATCTGAGGGTCTGTTTAGCCTCTTTCCTTAAAGGATCAAGACATACAGAGCTTTTGCACGAGGAAAAGCGGTGATGTGGCGGTCCGGTGTCAACTCAGGACGGTGAAGTTATTCTGGCCAAAGCAGCAGCTGTCTAACCGAATAAGGTTCCTCCCTCAGAGCAGCTCCCTTCATGGCTTGGAAGCTTCGCCAACATTTACTCATATCTGACTGTTGACGATCAGACTCCATCTTTGTTGTTCTTCTTCATGTTCTTCTTGTGTCATAATCTCACTCATGGAGCCATTTTAATCCTCTGGTTATTGTTGGGGGAAGTATGGACCAGAAAAATGCAGAATATTTAAAGTTATGTAAAGCACCTTCAACTGCTTAGGGTTTAATGGACTGTTGAAGTGAAATGGCTGCTGTGATGGATTGTTTTTGTTGTTTTTTGCGCTCCTTTCTCAGGCAGTGTTTCTGTAAGTTTACCTGTTTATGATTCATGTTGAGTTTTCATCCTGAGGCACGAGAATCAGATTGATCAGTGGCTGCCATGAAGCCTGATTCCTGCACGCTCACATCCACATTCATTTGCACAGCTCGTGTTCCTTCGGTGCGATGGGGAGCTGAATTTCTCTTGTTCCCATGGAAACTGCATCTTCCTCAGCAGTGTAGTCTTGAGAAGAGTTTTGACCTACTTCCACAGCTGTGTATGTGGGGGTGTGTGTGCGTGTTAGCGGTTCAGAGTGACTCTGCAGCAGAGCTCCACTGTTACTGCGTTTGCATATCAGATGAGCATCAAACACCAGACGCCGCCGTCCTCTCCTCACACTTGAAACATTAGAAAAGGTTTGTGTGTTTGCAGATGAGCAGGAGACGTCGGGCAGCATCATCTACACTGTGGAGCTGAAGCGCTACGGAGGCCCTCTGGGAATAACCATCTCAGGCACAGAGGAGCCTTTTGACCCCATCACTATATCAGGCCTGACCAAGCGAGGCCTGGCAGAGAGGTACTACATGCTGGAAACGCTCCCAAACGACGCTCTGCTTCTACAAACACTTACAGGACGACTCTATTTCAAACATTTCTATAGGCTTTAGGTTTAGCTTGAAAATATTGAAGTTTATTGAATCAAGTTTATTTCTGAAATGTAAAAAAATGTGTGTCTTTTCCAAGTGAGAGATCTTTGAAAATAAAAATCTGATTATGGATCCTCCCTGTGAGTAAACTTAGCGTGATAAGTGATTATGATATGAATTATTAATCTATTGGCTAACCCTGTTTAAAACAATGAATAATAACCAAATAAATAATATTCAGTATTATAATCACTCAGGAAGTATTGGGGAAAACCCCCCTTCAGTTTCAGTACATTCCTTAAAGAAATAGTACACCCAAAACATGATTAGCCTTCATTTTCTACTCACCCCCATGCTGAACAACACTCTGGAGTACTTTTTTGATATCTCAAATGCATCTGGAGATCTGGGAGGCTTCTTGCTGTCTGCTGACATTCAAATAATGGAGGTCTATGGCGCCCGAGGCAGAAAGGTCCATAAAAGTCCACAAAAAACGTGTCAATATTCCTCCATACTGCTCGTCCAATGTATTCCAAGTGTCCTGAGTGGGTAGCATCCAGAATTTACTCGAAACGAAGTCATTTAGAATGTTTTTAGAGCATAAACAGTAGTGTATAGGATCTCCTTAAAGCTCGTTCACGAGTCTACGGAAACCGCGGCAGACCAAACCAGATGAAAGTGCGCATTCAGCGTCTGCTCCGCCGATAATGCAAGCGTAGAAGAAGAAATGTGCTGTTTACCTGTGCAAAGAAAGAAACAACGAAAGAAAAATGTCTGAGGACTTCAGTGTTGAGGAAGAGCATGAGTTCTTTGCCGAGCTAGTGCTGATTGGTTGGTTTACAACAAGGGAAGCTGCTGAGCAAAGACGCATCATAGCAACAAGCAGGAGGAGAGCAGGAGGCGGGGTTAGCAATCTACTTGCTCTGGAGAGCAGAGTTCGCTGCTTTTAGATTGTTGTCGCCCAAGTCTCCCGTAGCAAAAAAAAGTTGCTAGATTTGGCGCTAGGCGTCCGAAAAAATGCTAAATATAGCGATAAATGCACTAAGTTGGTAACCCTGCTCTTCGCATCATTTGTTTTTTAAATTGTTTGCTGCTGTCTGTTTGGACCTTTCTGAACATGTGCAGCAAATGGACTGATCCAATATGGTGGACACTGGAGGGGGGGCTCAGACACACTTAATATTATAAGCGCTCTGTTGGCATTTTAGCAAAAGGATTTTCATTAAAAACATAATTAATGTGCACAAATAAGGAATAGATGTATCAACCATATGTGTACAGATTTGTATAGGGACCCCAGGAACTTGTGGCCCTAGGCAACTGCCTTGTATTGCCAAATGGTAAATCCCCCCGGTTCCCTGCATCAGCGCAGGCAGTCTGCTTTGCATGACTGTGGATAAAGAAAGGGAGGAAGTTAGGCCTGCAATTGTCTCACACAGGAGGACAGAGTTCTGTGCTTTTTTGTCGCCAAAGTCTTCGTTTGCACAGAAAAAAAAAATTGCTAGATTTGGCGCTAGGTGCTTTTTAGATATAAAGGCATTAGGAGGGTTCGATAAGGCGCTGCATTTAGCATCAAAAGTGCTAAATTGGCAACACTGGTCCTTAGGAAATCTCTTTCTCTTTGTTTGTTTGTTTATTGAAGCACCATAAATCCAGCATAGCATAAATTTACCAACATCCAGGCTGTTAGAAAAGCCTGCTGAACCAGAATCCATTTGATGCTGAGTCAGAGATCTTTTATCTCCAACATACACTATATTGCCAAAAGTATTTGCTCACCTGCCTTGACTCACATATGAGCTTAAGTGACATCCCGTTCCTAATCCATAGGGTTCAATATGACGTCGGTCCACCCTTTGCAGCTAGAACAGCTTCAACTCTTCTGGGAAGGCTGTCCACAAGGTTTAGGAGTGTGTTTATGGGAATTTTTGACCATTCTTCCAGAAGCGCATTTGTGAGGTCGCACACTGATGTTGGACGAGAAGGCCTGGCTCTCAGTCTCCGCTCTAATTCATCCCAAAGGTGTTCTATCGGGTTGAGGTCAGGACTCTGTGCAGGCCAGTCAAGTTCATCCACACCAGACTCTGTCATCCATGTCTTTATGGACCTTGCTTTGTGCACTGGTGCACAGTCATGTTGGAAGAGGAAGGGGCCAGCTCCAAACTGTTCCCACAAAGTTGGGAGCATGGAATTGTCCAAAATGTCTTGGTATGCTGAAGCATTCAGAGTTCCTTTCACTGGAACTAAGGGGCCAAGCCCAGCTCCTGAAAAACAACCCCACACCATAATCCCCCCTCCACCAAACTTTACACTTGGCACAATGCAGTCAGACAAGTACCGTTCTCCTGGCAACCGCCAAACCCAGACCCGTCCATCAGATTGCCAGATGGAGAAGCGCGATTCGTCACTCCAGAGAACGCGTCTCCACTGCTCTAGAGTCCAGTGGCGGCGTGCTTTACACCACCGCATCCGACGCTTTGCATTGCACTTGGTGATGTATGGCTTGGATGCAGCTGCTCGACCATGGAAACCCATTCCATGAAGCTCTCTGCGCACTGTTCTTGAGCTAATCTGAAGGCCACATGAAGTTTGGAGGTCTGTAGTGATTGACTCTGCAGAAAGTTGGCGACCTCTTCGCACTATGCGCGTCAGCATCCGCTGACCCCGCTCCGTCAGTTTACGTGGCCTACCACTTCGTGGCTGAGTTGCTGTCGTTCCCAAACACTTCCATTTTCTTATAATACAGCTGACAGTTGACTGTGGAATATTTAGGAGCGAGGAAATTTCACGACTGGATTTGTTGCACAGGTGGCATCCTATCACAGTTCCACGCTGGAATTCACTGAGCTCCTGAGAGCGACCCATTCTTTCACAAATGTTTGTAAAAACAGTCTGCATGCCTAGGTGCTTGAATTTATACACCTGTGGCCATGGAAGTGATTGGAACACCTGATTCCAATAATTTGGATGGGTGAGCAAATACTTTTGGCAATATAGTGTATATCTTCCCTGGAGTCATCATATGGGTGTCTCTGCATCTTCTTTCTAGTGTCAGACTAACTACATCAGGATGATAAAGCACTTCAAACCAAAGGTGTAAAAATGAATAAACTCATATATTTTTTTCTGCCTCAGGTATTAAATATCTTTAAAATATGCTTACTTTCATCAAGATGAACGAGTGCAGATATTTTGACTAGAAAATATTTCCTCACCACCAGCCCAGTGTCATATGACACATGGCGATGTCGGATTAGAAATGTGAGCCAGGTTGGCAGCCTGTTGCCATAGCAACAGGGCTGAGCAGACAATGACCTAATGGCTTGGCTGAGTCATAAACATGTATTAGTGAATATATGCAGGTCACAACAGCACCTGCTTCACAGTGAGGAGAAACCCAGCTGATTCTGGCTGGGGCCGCTCACAGAGCCTCACTGTGAAACCTTCCCACCCAGAGTCTGTGGCCCGTGGAAAACGTCCTCCGTCAATTTTATTCGATTTGCTTAACCACACAGCAAAAAGATAAAAAAAAAAAAGTTTCCATTAAGTTAGTCAACATGCAACTAAGATGATTTATGTTTGAAAAGCCTCCATTACCTCATTTGTAGTGCATCCAATCAATTGATCTTATTTCAAGGGTAAAATAATAATTCAATTGGCAGATAATATCATTTACCTGCACAAATTAAGAGTAAATTCACTGGTTGTAAGAAAGTTTTTTTCATTTTAACCCCTTTCTGTAGTTCAGAACAGGTAGATGGATCCTGACTGTATAAAGTACCTCCTTAAGTACACATCATATCCATCCGCCTTTATTGACTCAGTTGTAAATGTTTCATACCTGATATTAAGATAACAAAAGCAAATAAATTACATCTTTCAAAGTAGGTCAAATAAAGTAAAGGTTAAATTCATGATTGATTTTAAATGGAATAATAAGCCAGAACCGCCACCTTTAAAGTGTCTTTATTCATCATTTTTCATTCTATCTTCCCAGTCTTAGACCTGAGTTTTTGTAGCTTTTGATCTGTGGTTAGCAGATAGTTTGTGAGGCCCCTTTAAATGTGAATAACCTTAAAATTAAGAGTAATAGTGATTTGATTGTATTTTTATCTGTAGGGCAAGTTACTGTTTTTGATCCTTCGCATACCCCTTACAAATGGAGTCCCCCATGTCCCTCAGTGAGGTCTAGAAGCACAAGATCTATATCCAGCATTTCAGCAAAGATACTGCTACATCGCTGTACATCTTATTTTGGCATGAGCCCTTGAATGATATATTACCTACTGCAAATTAAGTTGAAAAAAAAGATAAAAAGTTAATTGAAAAGTTAAAAAGTTAAGTTTAAAAAGTTTAGATATGTATTTTTTACCCCCAAAAATGTGTTTCTTTCACTCTCCGAGAGTTTTTCATGAATTTCTTAAAGAAGCCCTTTTGTTATTTTTCTTAATATATTCAGGGAAGTTGGCGTTTCTTGTTTTTACTTTGACATTCATTTTTGACATCAAAATATCAATATGTTTTGAATGTCACAAAGCTAATAAGGTCTTGTCTTGGATTCTAATAACACACTTCACTGAGTTCCCTATAAAGGGTTAAGTCAGAGCACAAATATGAGCATCTCCAAATGTTTTAGTAGATTTATTGAAGGTAGTTACCCAAGAACAGGTTCTCTAACCTGATCGCTGTTCGTGTGTGTGTCCAGGACAGGTGCTATTCATGTAGGTGACCGGATCCTGGCCATCAACAGCGTGAGTCTCAAAGGGAAACCGCTGAGTGAAGCCATCCACCTGCTTCAGATGGCCGGAGAGACGGTGACCCTCAAAATTAAGAAGCAGCTAGACAGTGAGTATTGCAGCTCCCCAGGGCCGCACCCAATACGTCCAATACGTCAACCATAGAACTTTGGAAAATAGATCTCAATCATCTGTCTCTCTGTTATTATTCCATTTATAATTTCCTTGTGTTTTCTTTGTCTAAATCTTACAAGTCTTTACATTTAGCAAACATTTTCTTTCTGTGGAACAGTTCAGTCCAGGTAGAAGGTCTACTCAGCTCCGGTTGAACATTCGGTACCAGGGGCAGGTTTTAGCAGCCGGTCATCCTGACCCAGAGGACAGTACTGTCCACTTTAGAGGATGTGTGGGAGGCGGGTAGAACAAGGTGTTGCATCTCCATCAAAAGAACTCGGATCATTTCCAACAAGTTAAATTGAATAATTTAGCCGGTTATGAAATATAACCTGGGTAGAAATACCCTTTAACTTCACAGCATCAGAATCAGTTCACTACTGGGGATCAGGCTCTGCTTTAGGAAGGATGAACAGACTCCAGACCATTCAGGATACCTTCACACTGCAGCCTGAAGTCACCCACGTCTCCTTTTTTCCCATATGCAAAGTTTATCTGAGTTTTTCACAAACAAAACAGATGAATTTTTTTTCCAGTGAGACCCCAACCACTTATGTGGTCCTAAATTAGATACATATCTGTGTCATGATCTGGCCTGTTTGCTCTCCCTTAATTAGTAATTCCTCTCACCTGCCCTCTTCCCTCCCTGCCTCAATTATAATTTATTCCTCTCACCTGTTTCCTCTGGTTTATATTCAGTTCAGCCTGAGCATTCAGTGCCAGATCATTGCTTGTCTCTCTGTCAGTCTTTCTGTTCAGTTTTTATTTGGTTCATGTCCTGGATCCTAGCTGCCAGTGGAAAGAGGATTTTAGTGTTTGTCTCGTCTCCTGATCGTCCACTGTTCCTCCCCCGCGGAGTCCTCTGGGTCTTTGGCTCATTATGGGGGGAGGTTCAGTTTTTATCCAGTAAGCCTGGCTCCAGGGAGGAGACCAGTTTAAAGTCCTGCTTCAAGTTCCGGTTCCTACGTCCTGTCTTGGCTACCCTCTTCCACTATGCCTGCCTGTCTGCACCTGATCCTGTCTGCTCCTGTGCGTGACCACCTGGTCATGCTTCTGGTCCCAGTCAGACTCTAAACCCTCCTGGAAGCCTGTGGATGCCTGGAAGTCTGGATCCTGCCACTTGTCTCTGTTCCTGCCTGATCTGGATCCTGCCTGTTCCTGTCTGTTCTGGATCCCTCACCAGGATCGGCTTCCAGCATCACCTCTGGGACTGCAGCACTGGGGACACTCGTGGTCTGGACTGTTAAACCAGAGTGTCTGAGATTGGGCGGTGCCCCGCCCCCCCGCCTGCAGTGTCCGCGAGCCACAGCTCCCCTTTTGTTTTGTTTTTATTTTAATAAATCTTTTGAACTTTCCTACTGACTGTCTCTCCTGAATACTGGGTCCATCTGTCCTCGTTTCATGACAATCTGACCTGTACATCATTAATACCCGCTGCTCACACTGAGTCTGGTTCCTGTTCTGCCAATAATACCCACCCTGTATCTACTGTATGTTATTAATACTGTACCTGGTGAATGACCTGTACGTCCTTAATATTCGACCTGTACAATTCTCGACCTGTACATCTATAATATCCGACCTTCACATCTATAATACCCGTCCTGTACATCTATAATACCCGACCTGCACATCAATAATAACCGAGATGTACATCAATAATACCCGACCTGTACATCTATAATAACCGAGATGTACATCAATAATACCCGACCTGTACATCTATTATACCCGTCCTGCACATCAATAATACTCAACATATATCCATAATACTTGGCCTGTACATTATTAGTTCTGGAGCTGTATATTAGTAATACCCAATTTTACATCACTACTAATATTGTTAAAAGTAACAACTCATTAAAAAAAAAACTATCACAGCATCTGATTTCCACTTTGGGACAAATGAAGTCTTTGCTTTAGAAGGGAATTTTTCATTAAAAAGGTGCTATATACCAGTCATAGGAAACATCCTGCATTTGATGCAATTCTTTCACAGTTTGGGTTGAAGTTTAATTCATTCTTGCATTTTCATTGACGTTTTTTAATAGGTACTGTATGTATTGCTGTAATCATTTGGCTGCATTCAGTTTCATCATCATCTTGATTGACATGTTTAGCAGCACTGGAAAATAAAGGTTAAGATAAATCTATATATCAGACAACAACAGCTTCAATATAACAAATAGTCAGTTTTCTATTTCCCCAGTTGATTTTTGAACCGCTAGTAGTGAGTAAGGACATCACAGCAGTAAAGCTCTTCATCTTGTTGAATTGTTGATTATTTTGGGACTTTGTTAGCATGCAAACGCTTCGATGCCATCGCCAAACCATTCGGCCATCAGGCATAAGCAAACCAACTCCTGACGATTAAATTGTTTTTCTCTTACAGATTTAGAGAAGAGGAAAGCAGCAGATGCTGATGATGCGACGGAGAATGAGGTCAGTGATCCTGAGGAAGATGATTTGACTGACAGCCAACAGACCAACAAGCTGTCAGAGATTTACTCCACTACTATACCCAGTGTTGACTCTGCTATGGAGTCCTGGGATGGTTCTGGACTGGATGCAGGATACGGCAGCCAAGGTAAGGTCTGGGTGACGCATGTTATAAAGCCGGGCGTACACTGTACCATTTTGTTTAATTGTTGCACGCAGCTACAGCTCACGCCGTACAGCGAAACCGCCGGCTTTAAAAGTTTGCAGCTTATGATATGTGTTCTTACACTGAGCGACCCAACGTCACCTGGGACTCGTCTATCCAGAAGCCAAACGAGTAGAAGAGGAATATGAAGCTGACTACAGTGCTACTAGTTTGTGCAATTTTTTATGCTGAAAGCCCTAAAACGAAAAGGCGACGATATATTAGGACATAGACATGTCTGAGCAAATGTGGCTACTACGGTCTGTCAATTTTACAGAAAAAAACTCCATTTCACTCACACCCCAACCATGCCTCTGTGTTTTCGTCTGAGCGATTTGCCCAATACCGTCTTACAAAGGCCGACTGAATTTCAAACATGTTTGATTTTCCCCTGACTATACGATTCCTGATGGGAGGTGGTCGTGAGAGGCTGATCGCCCCTCGTTACCCCCTGGACACTACAGGAGGAACGATAAGGTTGAAAGTCGGCCCGATGGAAAAATTCTCGCACGATTGGAGAATCGACCTGAAAAGGGCAATAAATCATACAGTGTAAGCCCGGCTTAAAGGAATAGTACACCCAAAACATGATTAGCCTTCATTTTCTACTCACCCCCATGCTGAACAACACTCTGGAGTACTTTTTTGATATCTCAAATGCATCTGGAGATCTGGGAGGCTTCTTGCTGTCTGCTGACATTCAAATAATGGAGGTCTATGGCGCCCGAGGCAGAAAGGTTCATAAAAGTCCACAAAAAACGTGTCAATATTCCTCCATACTGCTCGTCCAATGTATTCCAAGTGTCCTGAGTGGGTAGCGTCCAGAATTTGCTCGAAACAAAGTCATTTAGAATGTTTTTAGAGCATAAACAGTAGTGTATAGGATTTCCTGAAAGCGCGTTCACGACGCTACGGAAGCCGGCAGACCAAACCAGATGAAAGTGGGCATTCAGCGTCTGCTCTGCCGATTAATGCAAGCGTAGAAGAAGAAATGTGCTGTTTACCTGTGCAAAGAAAGAAACAACGAAAGAAAAATGTCTGAGGACTTCAGTGTTGAGGAAGAGCATGAGTTCTTTGCTGAGCTGAATGCGCACTTTCATCTGGTTTGGTCTGCCGCGGTTTCCGTAGCGTCGTTAACGCGCTTTCAGGAAATCCTATACACTACTGTTTAGGCTCTAAAAACATTCTAAATGACTTCGTTTCGAGTAAATTATGGACGCTACCCAATCAGGAGACTTGGAATACATTGGACGAGCAGTATGGAGGAATATTGACACGTTTTTTGTGGACTTTTATGGACCTTTCTGCCTCGGGCGCCATAGACCTCCATTATTTGAATGTCAGCAGACATCAAGAAGCCTCCCAGATCTCCAGATGCATTTGAGATATCAAAAAAGTACTCCAGGGTGTTGTTCAGCATGGGGGTGAGTAGAAAATTAAGGCTAATCATGTTTCAGGTGTACTATTCCTTTAAGGCTTCAACCATCATGTTTTCATCTTATGAAACATTTTCTCCCGTTCTAAATGACCTCAAGCGTTTCTTCTCGGTCAAACCGTGATTCAGACTCTTTTCCCCCCACAGGCACTTACGCCCATCAAGGAGCGGGGGTCGCCCTCCACCCACATGAGTGGCGTAGCACCAAGCAGCAACGTAGCACAACGCCACCTCCTGGTCCAAGGAAGAACTACCCGTTTAGTGATGGGGGTTTCAGTGAGGATGAGTGGGACAAACCACCGGGGTATATTTCTAGAATATTAACTACTGTATCCGTTTGTTGTGAAAAATGAATTTCTTCAGCCTCACTGCAGGAGAAACCAACGTAAAGAAAACAAATACATTTTATCACTTTCCAGTTTGTTTAAGATACGTTTGGCACATAAAAAATAATCCAGCAGTAGGATCTTCCTCTTGGATGTCTCCAAAATGGAAACGTTCTGAATGAGCTCACATAAACTGAGAAACATCTTCCAGTGTTTTCTGATGTTCTTTTGTTTTTCCATCTCTAGTTCAGCGGTTAAACTACAAGAAAGTACAATAATAAACCAGCTGTTTCTATTTAGTCAAAAGTACAACAACAGTTTTTTACTAAAAGGAGAAGTCTGGTCAGCAGCGAGTAATCAATGCATCATTATTTATACCTAAAACTAATAAGTTTGTGGTGATTTCATGAATTAAGCGTTAATTAGTAAAATATTAAAAAGAATAATTCCGGTTGAGAACCAGAACCATGGCCTTGGACCTGGAGGAGCTGATTCTCATCTCATAATATACACTCACCGGCCACTTTATTAGGTACCCCATGCTAGTAACAGGTTGGACCCCCTTTTGCCTTCAGAACTGCCTCAATTCTTGGTGGCATAGATTCAACAAGGTGCTGGAAGCATTCCTTAGGGAGTTTGGTCCATATTGACATGATGGCATCACACAGTTGCAGCAGATTTGTCGGCTGCACATCCATGATGCGAATCTCCCGTTCCACCACATCCCAAAGATGCTCTATTGGATTGAGATCTGGTGACTGTGGAGGCCATTTGAGTACAGTGAACTCATTGTCATGTTCAAGAAACCAGTCTGAGATGATTCCAGCTTTATGACATGGCGCATTATCCTGCTGAAAGTAGCCATCAGAAGTTGGGTACATTGCGGTCATAAAGGGATGGACATGGTCAGCAACAATATACAGGTAGGCTTTGGCGTTGCAACGATGCTCAATTGGTACCAAGGGGCCCAAAGAGTGCCAAGAAAATATTCCCCACACCATGACACCACCACCACCAGCCTGAACCGTTGTTACAAGGCAGGATGGATCCATGCTTTCATGTTGTAGACGCCAAATTCTGACCCTACCATCCGAATGTCGCAGCAGAAATCCAGACTCATCAGACCAGGCAACATTTTTCCAATCTTCTATTGTCCAATTTCGATGAGCTTGTGCAAATTGTAGCCTCAGTTTCCTGTTCTTAGCTGAAAGGAGTGGCACCCGGTGTGGTCTTCTGCTGCTGTAGCCCATCTGCCTCAAAGTTCGACGTACTGTGCGTTCAGAGATGCTCTTCTGCCCACCTTGGTTGTAACAGGTGGTTATTTGAGTCACTGTTGCCCTTCTATCAGCTCCAACCAGTCTGGCCATTCTCCTCTGACCTCTGGCATCAACAAGGCATTTCCGCCCACAGAACTGCCGCTCACTGGATGTTTTTTCTTTTTCGGACCATTCTCTGTAAACCCTAGAGATGGTTGTGCGTGAAAATCCCAGTAGATCAGCAGTTTCTGAAATACTCAGACCAGCCCTTCTGGCACCAACAATCATGCCACGTTCAAAGTCACTCAAATCACCTTTCTTCCCCATACTGATGCTCGGTTTGAACTGCATGAGATTGTCTTGACCATGTCTACATGCCTAAATGCACTGAGTTGCCGCCATGTGATTGGCTGCTTAGAAATTAAGTGTTAATGAGCAGTTGGACAGGTGTACCTAATAAAGTGGCCGGTGACTGTATATCATATCCATGGCGGCACTCCAAGGCAGGGGCTAAGAGCGGCTCCTCCCGACAATTTCACAAAATATGCCGCTTAAAACGATACAAAGTAGATATCAAACCCGCATCTATGATCGCCAACGCCTGCTAGAGTCACAAAATGTTTTAAATACTGACATTTTTGACCGTTTCAAAAGCTGCGGAGTGCTACGGATGGATGTAAACAAGACAACAGTGGAAAATAACTGATGCAGGAAGAGATGCACAAGACGGAGAAAGCTGGGTGCACTGGGGAGCTAACTGGGAAGCTAGCCCCCCACTTCTAAAGAGAAGCTAAATCCCCACAGACCACTGCTTCCATCTCCGACTCGAATTATCTTCAAAAAAGGAGATATGTAACTGCTGCGCCATCATTCTGACGGAGTCTTGGCTGCGTCCAGCAGTACCGGAAGGTGCTGTTGGCCTGGGGGGGCTGATGCTGTACTGCGCCGATATAGAAACAAAGAGCTCTGTGTGAATGGAGGCTCCTCTGAGACTATTCCCAGGCAATTTTTGGCATCTAGAGGGGAAGGACTGCACTCTGCAGGTGAAAATGAGGAGAGCACTCTAGATGCTTCCCTGCCAAATGCTGAAACATTCCCAGCCGGCTCCTCATGGCCCCCTCCGGCTTCCACACCTTCTCCAGCATCGTCTGTCGCTGCTAAACCTGCCGATGAAACCGCTGCTGCTTCAACCACGTCAACGTCTTCAGCCCATGGGGCTACCACCCTCACAGCATCGTCATCATCGTCCTCTTCCTCCCCCGAGCCAGGAGAAGCGAGAGCTTCAGGAGCTGGAGGCAGTAGTAGCAGCTCAACAACAACTGCTGCTGACCTTATCAAGGCTGCAATTTGAAAAATGAAATTGTCTAGAGAGCTGTTCTAGACGAAATTTATTTTTGTTTATACTTGTGTATACAAAATGATCAAATAAATCTGTCTAAGTCTAATATTATGAGCTGTTGCTTATAAAGCTAAAACAAGCTATATTTCACCAATGGTTTTGAACGCTAATATAATGTTAACGTTCATATATTTCCTTATATACTCATAAAATTTTAATGACCAAAATATGCCCAAAAGGTCATTTTAGAGGATACCCCTTATGTTTGATAGCAACTTGTTAAAATAAAGAGGGTTAAAGGGAAAGTCCGGTCAGCAAGGAATAACCAATTGGTGATTATTTATACCTAAAACTAATACGTTCGCAGTAATTTAATTAATTTAGCTTTAATCAGTAAAAAAAAAAAAAAAAAATGTTGTCATAATCACTGAGTCTGGGAGCGTCCATTTTTTAGTATATAGTAGCCCCTCCCTCCTGCCATCTTCCGTTAGTGACGTCACGGTGCGGTTAGCCTAGCGCCATTCTCCCCGCTTTACAAGCTAAATCAATGGGAACTACTAGACACATCTGCAATCAACAACAATTATTGAAGATTTCCAGAGGACTTCACCATTGAAATTCACCAGAGCTATAGTGAAACTGACAATGCCCACGTGCATGGCAGCTGGATGCTGGAATACATCGGGTAAAAGTGGAAAATAAAGTTATTTCACCTTATTTCCAACCGTCAACTTGAAGAGGGAGGATCTGGCCAGAGAAAAAACCCGTAATATGTAGCCAACATTTGGAAGAAGAATGTTTTCAAGATGACTTGGATAATAGCGCGTTGTGACAAACACCAGATACAGCACTGGGACTTGATCAACAGCCGATACAGCACCGTGACGTCACAAACCAGTAGGTGGCAGTAGTGTTCTTTGACAAACATGGATGCCTCCAGTAAAGCACATTCAAATGAGAATTACTCTTAATTAAAAACACTTATTTATTGAACAGTATGTAATAATTTCACATTTAAAGTACTTTCAGAGGTTTGAATTCTGAATATAACCAGACTTTTCCTTTGAAGTAGAAGTAGTTGCTGTGAGCTTTATACAGTTCATCTGAAACAGGAACAGTAAGAGCTAACATTAGTGCTGAATGATTCCCAGATCCAGTTTGGCTAACCAAAACATTTTCCTCTTTAGAAAGCATTTCACTAGATGTGAACAAGAGATCAAATTGAACTGTTTTGATTTTCAGATTTATATCTGTTGCATCCGAAGGACATAGGGCATGAATCCAAGATATAAACATTTACACTAACACTGATGGGAAGAGATGACTAGTCACGAAGACTCTATTAAAAAGAAATGTTTTTTTTTTAAAGTGAAAGTATAAAATCAGGAATAAGGTTTAGAAAAACAAAGATTCTGCTCATGACTGAACATATTCATACATTCAGATAATTGATAAGGAGAAGTCATGATGGGATTTGATGATAAAATGACTCTGCAGCTGTTTTAAAGCTGAAACAGTGATATTACTGAAGGAGGAAGGAATGAGAACAGATCATTTATGGATCTGTTCATTTTCAAGCATCAACTGTAGTTTGAAAGGGGATATATTTTCAGTGGGGTACACAGCTCCAAAAGGTTGGTGAATTCCTCCATGGAGATTGAATGGCAGAGTGAGTGAAACGATCTGTGTATCTGAAGCATCTATGTGTTTGTATCACTGCGTGTGGAGTGGTGAGTCAGGAGGTTAAGCCCTCGGAGGATAACAGGATCCAGTGAAGTTACATAACTCAGCAGGGACGATGGGAAAAAAAAACTTGGAAGCTCTCATTTGCACAGTAAAACTGGAATCATATCATCAGCCTGAAACAAATTTCTACAACGTAGTAAATATTTGGATACCAAGAGAAAAAAAAGGCTGCAAAGACACAGCTAGGAGATTTTACTGACTGTGCTCATGAAGCATTTTATTATAATTATACTCATTTAACTACAGTGGGGCAAAAAAGTATTTAGTCAGCCACCAATAGTGCAAGTTCTCCCACTTAAAAAGATGAGAGAGGCCGGTAATTTTCATCATAGATATACCTCAACTTTGAGAGACATAATGAGAAAAAAAAATCCAGAAAATCACTTTGTCTGATTTTTAAAGAATTTATTTGCAAAATATGGTGGAAAATAAGTATTTGGTCAATAACAAAAGTTCATCTCAATACTTTGTTATATAGCCTTTGTTGGCAATGACAGAGATCAAACGTTTTCTGTAAGTCTTACAAGGTTTTCACACACTGTTGCTGGTATTTTGGCCCATTCCTCCATGCAGATCTCCTCTAGAGCAGTGATGTTCTGGGGCTGTCGCTGAGCAACACGGACTTTCAACTCCCTCC